AAGAAAGGGAAACAAAGGGGGGGGGGGGGGGGGAGAAAAATGGTCGCAGCAGTTCATGCTAGCGACAATGAGAACGTGACGTGTTCTTCATGAAGCCCGGTCTTAGAATTTCGGTTTCAATATGGGACCTGTAGCAGGTGAATGAGCACCACGGTCCTTTCGATAGATTATCACTGTTTGGCTGGAGCGGCAAGCCTTGTGTTTTGTATCTACGCTTACGTTTGGTTGTTGCTGTGTCCTAGATTCCATGACGTCTATCTACGGCTGTAGATTGTGTTGTCTTACCACAAGTGAAGTCTTCTTAAATGGGACAGTGACAGAGCACTGTTCCGCAGAGTTAAACTGACTTTTTCTTGCATCAAACATATTTGGATGCTAGGATATGGATCGGAATGTACTTCTATTTGCAGATTCAACTTAGCTCAGGCCAACAGAAATGACCATACAGTTGCCATCTAATATCCTTTCCAGATTTTGTGAACTTTTGCCATTTGAATGGGTTGCGTGATGTCTATTGGCAAACAAAGACGACGCTCCATGAGATGCCAGCGCAAGTAATGTCACTATCGTCATAATCACAACCATAAGCATTGTCAGAAGCAGCCATACAACCACAAAGATTGTCCAATTATTTTTAAAGTTCCATAATGTAAAGAAGAGGGAAGACTAAGTGAGGGAGGGAGCCTAGTGTTGTCTTGTCGCAAGTCTTCCAAAGTACCTACATCTCCACGCGTTTTATCAGACAATCTGGAAAGAACCTGATAGCCTAAGCGCCACTGATTTCGAGAAAATGCCATTTCTCGCAATGTCTCCAGTCAAGCGCAGGAGAGGTCACGGCTAACCCTTCATGGAGGGTGGACCGCACAAATAACACTCGAACTCTTCGTAGTTTGTTTCACGTCCTTGTGTTGTTCCGCCTCGCTCCCCGCCTTTGATGTACGGAGAACTACGCTGGTCTAGGTAGACGCGTTTCAGCACGTGTAGCACATGGCCAAGTCACAGCACTTTATGGAGTCGGATGTTTTGCGCGATCGTGTTCAAATAAGTACCCGTTTTTTAATGACCCCGTTACAGATTCGTTCATGCCATCCAAAACCCAGAACGCTGTAAAAGCATCGGTGGTCAAAAACCGAGGATGTCTCACATCACTTGTCCACAGAGACCACGTCTCACAACCAAACAACAATGCAGCCTTTACTGTATCCTGGTACACGCTATCCTTGTGATCCAGTGGTATGCCTTTTCGGCACCACAGATGGCGCAAATTGGTGAACAGAATTCTAACCTTCGCGGTTCGTGCACTGACTTCATCAAGCACACTTCCGTCACAGCTAATACAACTTCCGGGATGAGAAAAATTCTACAAAACCTCTTTGAATCAAAAGGGGCATGTTCGGAGACTTTACGTTCTGAAGCACAACTTTGCACTCTCTTTGTTTTCAAAGATATCGCCTGAGTAATCCAGGTCGGAAAGGCTCTCCCCAACAGTGCATCGAACACCGGAGTTTTTAAAAACTTCCATTGTTTGCCCCGTCGTTTCGACGACGAAGTTAAACAATAACCGGGAGAGTGGATATCTTTGTTGGGAAGCTTTTGGAGAGCTCACCATGCACAATTTCAAATGCCCGGGAGTGTGTGAATACAGGGCTGGATTATGTCCACAAAGTTCCGCGGCATACCCTGTTAAAATCACTGGCCGATCGACAGGGTTGAACGCATCCATGAAGTCAGGGGACACCAAGATTGTGGGTAGTCTGTACATACGGGGTTGCTCTAACACCTGGTGGAGTGTGAAGACCAGCATTCCGAAATAGGGGTAGCATTTGTGTAACTGGACTGCTGTCTGAATTACCTTCTCTTTTTGGAGGTACCCAAGAGCCATTCTGGTCTCTAATAGGTTCGCTGACTAGAGACTTCCGGCGACCATTTCAGAGAATTAAGTGGAAGAATCGGCGGACGGTTCTGTCACTTTTTGGCATCTTAAATTTCTTCAGCCTTTTGGATTTACTAAGCTCTTCGGTGTGAATGGATATTCAGTTTCACCTGACGTCCGATGTTGCATCAAGTTGGGTTATTGACTACAACCATCAAGAATCTGTCGCCAGACCTGCAGCAAAACCACGGTCCTATCAAAGATCTAACATCTGGATGAGATTAGATGGGTTGTAACGTAGACAGAAGTTCCAGCTTTGAGTAGTGCTTTGAATATCTAATTCCAGTGAACTTTAATATGCGACAATGAACCAATGGGTAGGCGTTTCGAGAGGTGGGTCCAGTAGCTTCTCACTGGCTTGGAGACCTGTGCGTGTTTTGCATAGATCTGAAAGGAGCTATGAAAAGCAGCAGCGGACAAGTGCATGACCGGAGACCACGCTGGTATTCCAGTATTCCAGCGTTCGTCGCCAATAACTGACAGCAATGTGGTCTAGTTGGATTCAGGGGTGGTTTCTTGGTGCTGCAAAGGATTATTCTGCCCGAAGCAGGTGCTGTTCGTTGTCCGAATCTCATATCCAACCCAAGACGCCTTAGTCACGCTTAGTCTGCCTCCCTGGGCGTTCCTGGCATTAGCAGCCACACCGATATCTGAGCTTTTGGCCCGTTGTAAAATAGTAAAATGCTCCATTGGGGCATAAGCAGACACAATAAGTATGGTACAATGGATCTCATTTTCTCTAGATTCTTTTACTACCGTTACCGCGCAGACTTGGTTGTCACGTTCCTTCAGCGCTTGATAATTATGGCCCTGAAAGGTGAATTTAAGATACCCGAGGGCTAGTCGAAAGGCTAAAGTTGTTTCCTGACCACGGGTCATCTGGTCAACGAATTGTTTGCACCTTGTAATATGAGTTGTCTCAGGCTTTAAGATTTCATTTTTGGTTGAATACTTGCGTGTGGAAAGTTTTTTTCAATGCAGAAAGAGATAGCTAGACCACATCTTAACAACCGATTATCTGCGATTCCCATGACTTCGAGGTTAGAATCGAATGGTAAGCGGAAATCTGTCTCATGGCCTTACTCTTTATCATGAAACTGGTAGGCCAAGGTAAGGGGTATTCCGTACTTTGCATATTAGATCGGTAGATATTGCACTCATATTTCCATCCTTTTTGTGCGGTTATTTGTGAGGAAGATACACAAAGAGAGAGAACGTACTCTGTTCACAACGGTCACCCATGTAGCCAGGCTTGCAATGACACACTCCAGTAACTGTGTCACATACAGATGGCTGAGTGTTGTAACAATCACAAACTTGAGCACACCCTTTGCCATAGTAACCTGGGGGGCATGTGTACTGGCACAGGGGTCCGTAATATCCGGCGGGACATTCACACGATCCAGTCACCGGCGAACAAGTGGCACCTTGCGGACAAGTGCAGACCTTTAGAACAAAGGAAAGCAGACTGGAATTCAGTGTGAGAAGCGAAATAGAGTGCAACCCGGAGAAAATGAGGTCTATCCTGAATGGTTGAACCTAAACTCAGATAGGCACCCAACATTAACCAAACTACCGATTTCTTTTTGCCATTTGTATTTGAATGTCAACTGTATGGGAAGTGATGAAACTAGAACGATTAACAAATGGCGTTTGTGACAGCTGACATGAGTGACGACAAGGAGGCGAATTCCGACGTATGAATGAATTTTAATAAACTGAAACCCAAGTAAGATAATCCAAGTAAAATACTTACAAATTCTAACAGATACAATGGTAATTGGTGGTTTGTACGCAGAATAAATTATTCAGATCCACACAAAGGGGTGATCACCGTTGAGCAGCCGAATATCCCATTCTGTTTAATAAACTATCCACCATATATCTCGCTACGTCCTCAAAAATCGATCAAGAAAGAGACCACCGTGCTTCGCTCTTGAGAAGTCCCACTTTATTAAGCAAAATCATGGGTTTTTTTCTATCGGGGTACAATAGATCTTGCTGGGCACGGTCTTGACCCCTAGTTGTTCACTTGAATGCAACTAATTCTCTCCTGATTGGTTCTTTGGCGCTTGTGTCAGCCGGCAGCTGTTTGTTTGTGGTCATGTGTATTACTGACTGTGGCAAGTGACTGCGTTCACCTGCGTTGATCTTCTGTTGGGCACTGAGACATGTATCGGTGGTTGGTTGGTAGACTGAACCCAATTCGGACGGATATCGACTGTTCGCGTTGCTTTTGTCATGTGTTATTGTCACCACAGACTGCATCGCTTTCTACATTTACATATCTGTTTCAAGGTTCATTACATGGGACTAAACTCGGCGAGGGCAGTAGACTGATAAATGATCTAAAAATATTCTGAATCCGAGGGCGCTGTTACAAGAGGAATGGATTTTCCCCCAGGTGCGCTCATTCTTTTACGTATCATGTGACGACAACCAATGTAAACAGTCTGGTTTGCTTTAAAGGTAGAGTGGTAATCCGGAGGAATTAGTTGGCCTGAAGATACGGAATGGCGGAAATTTAAGTGGCAACCTCAGAGATGGTGCAACAGTGCTCGTTTATTCTACAGAGCTTCCATAGTCAGGGAAAGTTTTTTATCACTATGTACTGTTTAGTACACAGGATTAAATGTTGGGGATATTGGTCACACTCATCTGTTATTTGTCTCCCAACGAGAGCTAGTTTATCCTGAGTTCCTTAGGATGGGTTAGGTTTATTTTTCGATTATTTTATGTGGTCAAAATGTTCAGTATGCTTAGCATCTTTGCTGCGATTGTTTCGCAATCGACCGGGGCGATATCACCTAAACATAGCTACGTAGCGACGCATCTTTTTATGGGCATCGCTCAGTGCTTCAGTTACACTTGCATGCTTCTTGCTGATCAGAGCTTGAGTTCTGAATATGACTGTTCGTTTGAATACATGGTTTTCTCTCATTTTGGGTGGTCGACATTCAGGTCACCTTCGAGATTGATTCCTCCGAATAGTACCCACTGATTTGGTTCCTCTGGCCCCAAGTCTGACATTATCTTGGGCACTATACGTCTGATGGTCGCTTCGGTTGAACTCGGAGATAAAGATCGCATACGAAGTTTGACAGGATTTAGTGTGAGGTACCGTGCTTCCAGGAACTTCATTGTTTGCTTTGCGATCCCATGCGTTAGGATCACTGCAGTATCTTATTGGGACCAGTGACACTCTTGATCTTTAATTGCAGAAATCAATAAAACCCCTGTCAAATTTATGTGATAGGCAACATTGTTCTGGTTGTTTTCCTCAACTCTGTTCTTCTGTTGGGACAAACAGTCTTTTCAGGGTAGCTTTCGGTTGGTGAGCTATCCATTTTTTATCAGCACTTGCGCAAATTAGACTACTATTAGCATTTACACACATGACAGAAATTTCTCTATTACGAATGGTGTTCATGCGCCATCCACGTGATTACTGATCCATATCGCCCTACTAATTATACTTTAGAGTTGTAGTGACGGGAATTTACTGCACAGGATGGTTCATAGAATCTGATTATTTTTATTCAACTGAGATCATGCATTAAAAGGTAGCAAATTGCACAAGCACACTAGCCAGTAGGTTTCAAAATTTCTTGGAATACTCCCTGGAAAACAAGACAAGTAGGTTATTCAGTAGGGTCCTTTACTTCCCACCGAAACTATTCTAAGGGTTGTACCGTGTTCTAGTTATTTCACAATCATTTATGGATGTTTGCTTTTCGAACTTTCAACAAGAGTGCTTTTATGTATCGTCAGCATCTCATCGGATATGGTCAAAGTACGGTGACAGTTCACTGAAAAAACCCAACTTAGCTGAATGTACAGGCATCAGGTAGTTGGAAACACCATGTTTCCATACATTCAATCCACTGGGCGAACCACCGAATCGCGTGAGAGTGATAGTAAAACAGAGTGAGTACCTATATCATTACCGTACAGTGGCTGAGGAGTAAAGGGAATCGCCGTCATATAATACTGCGCCCCCACTAGGTCGGCCTGAGGGGCTGCTGAAGGCGTCCCTCTTTCTGTGCGTTCAGTGTGCGAGAGTTGGTGGGTGTCCATGGGAGGTTGTACGCTACTATCATACAATGCATACCTATATTTATTGGACAGCTTCAGTGGTTACAGTGTTGCTAGCGCCAAAATGAACAGAGATTCGCATAGGCCAGCGCAACGAGGATTTCAACTTCTCATCTACAGGAAAATCATATTAACTGAGGCTTCAAAAGGTATCCTGTTAGGAAAGAATGCACGACTGTTTTGATACCTGTGAGCATCTGGGTCCGAATCTTCCCGAAGGACACTTGGCTTCACACCCGGGTCCGTGTGTCCCAGGTGGACAAGGACACTCACCAGTCTGTGGATGACAAGTCACGTCACCGATGTCGCCAGGACGACGCCACATGGTTGCTACCACCGAACTGGTCCTCACTCCGATGCGAAGTTCTTGTCGGCTTCCGGGTTGAGACCAGTCGACTTTTGGTCGTAGTGTAGTGTCAGTGGATTCGATTTCTCCGGGTGATTTCATGTTACAAACAGGGCACTCGAACTTGCACTCGGGCCCAAAGCTCCCCCGTGGACAAGCTGGATTAAAAACAACAACAAATTAGTGTGGGTAGGGTACAAACATAAACCTTTATAAGACCTATGCTCACTCACATGGTTACCACTAAAAATCTTTGCGCCAGCAAGTAATTAGAACGTGAGCATGTCATTTACGAGCCCACACCATTTTCATAAAAAGGGAGTGGATCAGACAGGATGAAGTTGTGTTTTACGTTAGACAAAACTCGGTCGTCCTACGCCGAATACTAAGGTCCAGTGTAAGAAGAATTCAGGTTGAGCAGCCGAAGAAAAACTGTGGAGTAAAATATAAAGTGCTCTGAGTCTACTCAGGAAACCAGACTACTGATCGATGTATCACCGTTCCAGTTGTCCATCTACGTTGGCTATTGAGTAAAACATAAACTCTTAGACTGGAAGTATATAATTTGGTGCCAAAGAGTAAGTGGAGGCCTGAAGCCTTAGAAATCAGGAAGGCTTTGGGAATGGATTCACAGACTCCTTGCCGGTCAGCTTAGTTTTGTGCCCGTGAAAAATACCTACATTTACAAACTCTCAAGAAGTTATGCTGTACGCTTCTGCCACACTGTTGCACAGGTGGACAACCTGGTACGTGTAGTCGTTTGCGTCTTGACAATACAGCACTGCTACACATGACGAATCTTTCAAGAAGGAACTAACTACCCATCCACGGGAACACGATTTAGTCATCGGCTAAAGTCATCCAATGCAAGTGCCCCTCGTGGAAACAAAACCCCAGAGTCAATAAAGAGGCATTTGTTCTCAAGATTCCCGCCTTATCCCATAGAAACTTACGTACCAAAGGAAACAAGTTATGCTGTTCGATCAGGTCTGCTAATAGTCAGTTGAACTAGACAGATTTTGTTCTAAATCTGGTTAGCCAAGGCTGGAGTTTACTTGGCTTGTCTGACCATCCAAGACTCTGACGAGAAGAGTTCATTAAATTGGCCATTTTTTCATTATCACAGTGGAAAAATGTTGACAAACTGTCGTCTTTTGGTGGCCAGGTGACCTGACCTACTTGGAATACCTGACAAGAATGGTGGAGTACGTTCCCCACATCCTTCCGAGGGGCCTTAGCAACGGCCAATGAATAGCGTGGAATTCGGATGCAAAGTTCGTTTTTAACCAGCTGTTTGTGCAACCAGAGTATCTGATCTTTTGACGTGTATTTATTGGTCCTAATACAGGTTTCGGAATTCAGCTGATGGTCACGTCAAGTGTACTTTCGGATCCCAAAAATGCTTAGTCATACTTGAACTCTTCGGTTGAGTGTGGGGGACTCGGACATTCGACAAGTTGATCAGTTGCTTCATGTTAATGACCAGACATCCCTGATCCTTCATTGTTCATATGATGATTTCAAACAAGTAAGGAAGGCCTCCCATGGCTGACCTAATTGGTATTCAACCAAACTATTATTGTGACGATGAATTTATTTCCAGACAAGGCTAAACATTCTACCACACTCGGAAGAGATGAAGTCCGAAAATTCATCAGCTCTTCGCAAGATTCCTAAGAAAACAATCACCAAAGATACATATAATAAAAGGGACATTCGAAACGAATAAAAATATCTACAATGCATTATTGATAAAGTACACGCAACGGCAACATTCTAGAAGTTTGAACGCCCTGTAGACACTGCATCGGCATCTGGTATATGGTGGATCTTGAATGGGATTGCCTATTGGATTCGTATTTCAGACCAGTTTGAGCTCGTTCTGATGCTGGACCGGGCGAATACCAGATCTCCCAACTAGTCACGTGACAATTGGCTCTCTTGGTCACTGCAGTGTCCATTTGTGACTTAAGAGATTTTTGGATAAGGCTCTCGATGTTTTTATTCCCTTCGCCCATAAGAAGCCAATCCCGACCGGTGAAATATTTTGGTATTTCCCGAAGGTGATCTATCGACCTCATCAAAATTATCCCCAGCCCTGAGCTGTGCCTGTGAAACATTAGCTGGAGTTGAGAGACCAAGAAAAACAGGATCACAACTGAAGAGCAGGCAAGGTACACAAGATAGAATGGTTGGGGCTTAAACTAGGGACCAGAGTTCCAATGATTGTCAAGTCCGAAGTATCTTCACCCATAGAAGAGGGTCATCTCTTTGATGGTGAGATTTGACGGTTTCTAGACGTTATGTTCGAGAGCTTCATAGCTGATCATGTGATCAGCTGATAACAACTCTTTCGTAGTCAGTCTGGCTGGGGACCCTCAAGTAATAACACTGAGTGTAGCAGTCGACCTATCAGCATCCGAAGAATATGGCCCACTTAAAACAGACTGTGAGTCTCCAGGTTTGCACTTGGTTTATCACCAGATATATGTTTGCGCATTGCTCTGATTAGCCAGCTTGATAGAGAACATCTGACGCAGGCATCGACGGTGGGGATCCCAGAGCACTTGTAACTATTTTCCAGGGAGGAGTCTAGTTTCCGAATTGCATTAAAAGGGAAAACATACACAAGCACGATAGACTCTGCCTGTAGTTGATAACCAAACATTTTTTGTGCAATAAACAACAGAACGGGTTCTACTCATTCTGCAGGTTATTTCTTCCGGATCATGAAAACATGACGCTGTAAACACTTCTCCCGCAAATGTCATCTGATATGTAGAGTCGGAGTATTCTTGATCAAGTTTGGTAGCATGGTTTTGGAATTTTAAGTTCCTGCAAGCACTGCGCGTTCAAAGTCCACTTTGTAGGTGAAAAATAAGTAACATGACAGTGCGTATTTAAGCGTGTGTTTGCTAGATTTTGCTGTCTTATTTGACTGCAATGAGCATTCAACTGTGAAATTCCCCGCTTTCATAGTTTATGACAACAGCCAGTGTACCGTTGACGGTGGTAAAGATCAGTATGGTGAACTTCTGGCATATGGGAGACAAAAGTCCACCTATCCAAAATCCGTGTGCTTGGATATATCAGAATGGAGGACTAAGCGATCTGTAAACAGTTTTACCAAACAAGTTTTATTGTTATTCGGAGTAGTTATGCCCATGCGTACGAAATTGACACCGTGGGACTGTAGCGGTCAATTCCTTGTCACTTCCACCAACTTAGTTTAATTTGTCTAGTACATCGGTGCTCACTAAACCACCAGCTCAGTTCATTCTTGGAATGAGGAGGGAAATTGCTGGAATTCTAACTTCGATTCCCAAATATTTCGGCGCTATCTCACGCTTGACAATATGCTTTACAGGATATACCTTATCCCCCGTCTTAGCAGTGCTCTGGTATTCCTTTAAGCCTGGAAGGTCTTCAGCCTTTAGTGAAATGAGAAACGGATAAATGGCTAAATGTCGTTCTAGATCCGCATACGGATATGCAGAGCATCTTCGGAGAGCAACATGGTTAGCCCAACTCAAGCAAATGTTGTATACTTGAAAAGTCTAGGTCCAAGGGCCTCTGAAACATGGTAGCACTAATTGCTGGTGGTTGATGATCGCTTATGATGACTATCGCTTATGTCACTATGGAGCCGACGGCAGCAACTTACTTTCTTCACAGTGTCGTCCACGGTATCCAGCTGCACAATAGCACTGTCCGGTGACTCCATGGCATGCCTCCCGGTGAATACATTCACATCGCTGTTTGCATTGGCGACCATAAAAGCCATTGGGACAAGGTAATGAGCAACGCTCCCCGTAGAATCCTGGAGAAGATAACTGGTATGTTAGCAAGTATGGAGAAAGCAGCGGCAACTTTCGGTTAACTGAACAGATCTTCCCTATAAAATATTTTAGCTTTCAAGCACAACGAACAAACAAACTGTTAAACGCCTCACTGATCAAGGCTTGTGGCTTCAACCAGCATGATACATCCGTCCGTCTTGAGGCTGGATTGCGAACCTTGTCCATACAGCTTTATTTATCCTAGCTTTTGTCTCTCTGCATCAACGTCAACATAGAACACAACACTATGCCAAGTAAAAAAGGAAATGAGATGAATGACTCCCATTTTTGTTGTTCTATGCTACTATGAGTAGATGCCATTGTCCCTCCGATGGAAAATATGTACCGTTTTTACTATACAAACAGGTTCCGTTTGATATCTCACTATTGCTGTTCTTACTGCAATGCCTATACCTAAGAAAACTCCAACGAGAGGCACCGTTTTTTGGTGTTGACAGGTTCTAATGGAATTTTCAACACTGCATCTCTTCCTTTTGATGTAACGGACTCTCCAGAAGTGAGGACGAAGTGCAGTGGAATGATTTAATCCCCTAAAGGATAGGCAACAGCGGAAATGGTATATATAAGAACCCAGATTTTTAGTTGACCATCGTTTCAAAACGTCTGTTGTCAACGAGGCTAACACGCCAATACCCCACATGAGTGAACTTCTTTTGACCAGATATGATTTCTCTTGGTCGATGTTACACAGCACCATTCATTGTAACACTACGGTTGTACTACTGATAAAAAACAATGCAACTTATGATATTCAGTGGAGGTTTAACCGTATCAGTTAAGCCAATTTGTGCTGAGAAGCCGATAAGCACTGTACAACTGTTTCATCCCTTCATCATCAGTGTATATCTCATGAAACTCAGAGAGTTCCAAACCCGTGACCGTCTGATCACTGGTTGAACATTTAACGGTTCGGCCAATAGGTACTGATCAGTTTTGTGATTAGCTGTCACTAGGACAGGGCCACCGTCTCCTCGGTAACGGAAAGGCACATCACGAGGTCAGGTGTTGATTAGCTCTTCGAGTGGCGGCTTCTCAGAAGAAAGTTTCACAATCCAGTGGAATTATCCTTTCTCTGAGCTGCTTATCGTTTTTTGGTACCTAGAATTCCACACTGGCTTAAGGTCCCGCATTTCAATTCCTCTTCGTGATGGCTTATCGTCCTCACTAAAAAGGAAGAACACCCAGAAGATCCTGACTTACTTGGATGACGAAAACTGGGTGTAATACCGGTTCACCGTGTTATGTTCATGAGTCGCGAATATGCAAGAGTACTACATATCTAGGTTTTTTCATCCAAATAAAGTGTGAAGTTATGAATACCCCTAACAAATCCTATTGGGAGACACCAGAATACAGGTGAATATCTACGGCACCCTTGAACAACGCACGTGATACACCCGTTCTACAATCAAACGTCTTTTGAAGAAACTGTTTTGAATCGTCATAGGTGGAGCATGTTCAGTTTGTTTCGCCTTTTTTCAGGCAAAATAAGCTGGTCAGCGTCAACGTGACAGGCACACACCGCTGGAAACGGAAACCTATTTTCTGTCATATGAACGTTTGATACGCGTCTGCCCAACACTGCCAAACTAAGCCAGCCATGCTAGATGAACTTGCTAGCTGCAAGATCTTACACTGTGTAGTAAAAAGTCATCCTTTTTCTGGCAGAGAATGTGATATGCTTATAGAGCTTTGCTGACAGACTGCACTGAAGTGATGAGAAGCGAAAGTTTTACATACTGGGAATTCAGTTAGACAAGAGCAATCGCGGACCCCGCACTCCTAACAGTGCGCCGCAAATACCTGAGCTGCTGATATGAAGCAGCGTACTCCGGGTCTCTGTGACGTCAAACAGGAGATAGTTAGTGGATTGTCGAGATGTGAGTGATGTGTGAGTGATGTAACAGCAATACTACTTACTAGCACTATTCAACAAGCGTAACTTAGAGAAACCAGTTAAAAGGAACCAAGTTAAGATTCCGTCCCATGAGTGAAACCAACCTGTGTTGAAAGGCTGAGGAGTACTGTGCAGCTGTTTCATCGTTTTTAAGGATCATCGTCATCGCGAACGTCGAGAATTTCCAAGGAACTTCGAATTCACACCCACTTGGCTAGTGGTTGAGACCTAAACTATCAGGCCACGAGTGGCTGATCAGCATTAAGGTTAAATCACATGTAGAGAGGATGTAGAACGCCCATACTTTAATCACTAAGTCCACATCATGTGGTCACGTGGTGACTGACTCCTCAAGTAAATGCAACGGTAAATTTATTAATTCTGAAGCAATAAACCAGATCATGAGAAGCTTATGAGCCCTGGTTTGCTAGTTTGAAACCATTCGGACAAGCAATTAAAAAAACACCATGCACCCTATTTGGGTTCCCGATCCACTTCATTTCTCCGCTTTGTTGCGCAATCGACTTCAAAAATATGAGTAGTTCATGTACGTCAGTACAAAGACAGTGAATGGATGACCACTGCAACTGCTTTAAAGTGCTCACAGTAAGGGCCGAGATTATCGCATCTGTAATCCAAAACTAAAGATGATGGACGGGTGTCATGATGGAGCTAAGATCTCTGTCCCACGTGCGCTGTGCACCACCCGCGTTGATAACCCTTAGACCTATTTACGGCTATCCAGGTTATTGGCCTTTTGTACCACGTTCGCTGCCGCCTGCTTAACTTAAAAGATGACCAAACGGCACATGCGGAATTCCGTTCCGTGTTTTTTAGTTGTCCCGTAAGCAGCAGCACAAAAGCATAAATGAGTGAGTTGTGGTGAGATTAAATAGGACAGACTTCCACATATTACATGATAACATAAGGGGAAGGGCGTTGAAACCAATCTAGTTACCCGTCTCCTTTACAAGAAAATGAGCATGAAAACGGATGTCTGACGGAGAGTGAGGTACAAAATGTAGGCTGCGTAAGCCGGACAAGCGACTTCCAAAGCTAAGCGTTCTCGTTTTATTTCTGAGCAGGTGGCAGTTTTTGGTTTGAATTATTACCGCTCCAACTTATTTGAGTGTCCGTTTTGTTAGCGAGGATTCCGTTAAATTGGTCACATACAAGGAAACAGTTTAAGGTATTTTCCATCACTGAATGCCGTAGATGCGTAGGGATCGATAATTTTTTATCCCATAATCATGCAGCTTGTGAACCATGAGAAGAGTCGTTCGGGAATTACAATCAATCGGTTACGTAAAATGTCCCTTTATTCACTGAGTCCTACGATTAACCCCAAAGGGATCGAAATGTGTCCTGCACACCTGTGATTATTGACAGGCAAGTCAAGCTAGTTTATCTACTGGGCAGCAAAACCTCGAATGAAGAAAATGTTTGGGATACATGTTTGGTGATTCTAAGGTCAAAAGAACTAAGCGAAAACAACAGTTTGTCTACATGGGACCTCGGAGTTCACACTGTTAGAAAAAGAGTTGAGAGCTTTTATTCTAGGAGGGTATACTATCTTGGCTTAACCGAGCCCTAGGCTGCAGAATGGGATTGCGTAAACAGAGCGAGGACTACCTTGTAGCTTGGAAGAAAGTTCATGAAAGGGAGGGTCCTACATCTCGGAGTAGATTCACCTGCTTGTACTTAGTAATAGGTGTTGTGAGATATGGAAGCAAAGTAGCTTCCCCATGGCTTCAGTGTACATTGCCTGATGTTGGATTGAAGTACCGTACTTCGAATTGTTCAGGAGATCAAGCAACGTGCCTTTCTTTCTTTTGCTATTCTGTTGATCACGTGTGCACCGCGGTTTACTTATCTTGCTCGTGTGATCACGAACCATCCGTTTACCTACAACTGTGTTGTTGCCTGTCCTACAAATTATGTTGCTGATGGTAGTGAGGCAAATGGAAATAAACTGCATTTTCAGTTTTGTCCGTCCAAGAAGTAGGGATGCAGAGTAAGAGCTAAACAACGGCTGGTCTTGACTAAGGAGCCCACAGAGGTTGGGACTTGTAGACACCAGTATGTCCTATGAGAAACAAGGTAGGGCCATGTTCTTCGTGAATGTGCATGACATACTCAAACCACCTCAGGTGAACCACACAAGTGAGTAACCTTTTTTAGGTCTTATTTATTGGGACAGATATATCCCGGTAATAACTTCTGGACGGATTGCAGGGTGGAGTTCGAATACTGCTTATGGAAAAAATGCCGTTAGATTGGTACTCCACTTACCAGGTGCACATATACACGTTCCATTATCCGGATGGCAGACACCCTGATTTTCGCATTTGCATTCGTACTGGCATTTGCTACCGAAAAATCCAGCCGGACAACCTGTAAAGAGCAATGGTAACCATCAAGGAAAATTTTCAGGATTCTTGAGCATGTTATGATGTTCAATTCTGACTACAGTAGCACACAGACAGGTAGAGCCATGGCATTTCGGTATGTAAGGAAGATGACCGCTAAATTTGACATACAATTAAAATGGATGTGATACGCGGTACTCATCACTAAGGCAACTTACGGCTCACACAATTAGGGCCCTGCCATCCCGGTCTGCAGTGACAGGATCCGTCAACCGGGTCACAGATCATATTGGGGTTCTTCTGATGACAGTCACAAATATTAGCGCAGTCCTCACCCCACCGATCTTCAGGGCAGTTGTACTGACACTGTGGTCCATAAGTTGCTGGCGGACATCGGCACGCTCCGGTTTCATGGTGGCAGGGTCGATCAGATGGGCAGGCGCAGCTAATTGGGAAAAAAATTAAGTTCAGTCGTGAGAACATTTTGCGTAGGCAAAACATGGTGAGCGCAGTTAAAGTATGCTCAGATTTTACTGGGGCTCTAGTCTTTTACTTGAAGTCACTCTATGCTGAAAAGCCGAGAAGTACTGTACAGCTTATTCGTTCTTCTTGGCACTCATCAACAGTGCGAATCCCTCGGAGTTAAAGAATCTCGGTCCCACTACGTCCCTGCTGGTATTCTCAAAACAGAACCGTACGACCACAATCTTCTGATGAGCAGTGTGTTTAACTCATTTATACAGGATAAAGCGCAGCTAATCCTTGGACCATGAGATCCACACCACATAGTCTCACGTGTTGATTGGCTCCAGAAATCTCCATCTGAGGAGCTGTGGTTGTTTCTGTTGGGACTTGGCTTTTTATGTCTTACGGATTCAGTAATAGTAGAAGACCCTTGATATATCTCCTTACTCTTGATCACTGTTCCCGGGTTTCTTAGGTCTCATGTTGTATGCCAATAATCATGGTCTGGAATCTTGAACACCAGTTATCTGCCGCGAACTTCAACAGCAAAGTGAAATATGGAATGTGAAGCAAAATGGAACAGTGTAACATCGCCTGTACTGAACCATTGGGTTATTTCTGTCGTGAACTACCAAAACAGGAACAACGCCGATAGAAAGAAGGGGTTGAAGTAAGCAATTATTTTAGACTGTGCTATCAAGCTTTCAGCTTTCGGTTTGCAGCGAAAAACGTCTGGGCTGTCAGAAAATGCGTTGGGCTTCTCTTAGTGACACTTGAAGGTATACATGAAGCAACAACACATATTCTTGCAGAAATGTAAAATGTGTGAATAGGTTGATGCTGGACGGCCGTCCTTCGGCAGCATTCTTTTTTATGTTCACTACCAGTGTAATGGGATACTATTGACGGGGGAGGCATGTGAGTAATATGTTTTCTTGTAAATCCACTCTGCGTCTCTTGAAAAGTGAGATCTACAGCGGAATTTGTGGAGTCGCTTTGTAGCATTTGTTTGGATTTGGGCAACAGTCAATGAATATCCAGGAAAGTTCAGGAAGACGCTTCCAAGGAGAAGATGAATAGTCAGTTTTTGTAAACAAGATGCATATGAGAGTTTTGCTTCCTTGTCCAGTAGTCTGTAACTGCTCATTTGGCGTTTTCTAACACATAACTCCGCAGTGAAGGCCCCCTTTCTTTTCACCAGTACATCTTCCACACTTTAAATAATGCAAATCGAGGGAACACTCCACACCGCATTTGTGACATCAACCGCGTGACCAAATGGTACATGATTACATATCCAGTCTTGGTGTAACTAAAACCCCGTGCCACATAGTCACGCATAGCCAAAACTCCCACTCGATAGCTTAGATTTGTGCTATCATTCCTAGATTCATGAGGCACTGATGACTTCCGACAAGAAGTGAACACTTGTACTATGCGTCTTTATTTCATAGTAAACTTTAATCCATGCTTTAAATGTGTAGACGTTGGCTGAATACGATTCATAAATCGTGCTATCAGAAAGACGATGCTACATTGGTTAAACACATGAAATTTATGCACTCGTTCTTTAGAAACCTCACGAAGGATTATAAATGTGTGAGTTGTACCTCTATTCTAGCTATTTGATCCAGTTTGTCAAAAAGCAAACCGATTCCATCAATACAGAAACATTATTCAAAAGAATGTGTGCAAGACCTTTGATGGAGTCAGTCATAACCTGGTAAATTGGTATTCACGTCAGCCTCATCTCAATGCAAGACGAAGGCATCATAAGTCGCGCTAGCCAAATCTAGACAGGTCACAAAGCAGGTTTCCAGAGAAGGCACTTTTTTGACGTAATTAACAAGGTTAGACGCAGCAAACCAAACCAGTCGTGTTGGAGATTGGCTTGTCGCTCAGATGATCATGTGACTTTTCTCTCCATACGTGATAAGCTGACACTTAGCCGATTGTTTCGTATGACCTGTCTATCTGTGTAAACTCACCGCTGTTTACATTCCACACCGTAATATCCATCTGGACATGGCTGTTCACAAGAAGCTCCGGTCCATCCAGGAGGACAGTGGCAGGTTCCTGTGACCCCATCACAAACCGCGCCCACTTGACGACAGTTGCAGCTGAGCTGGCAGTTAGGCCCATACTTTCCCGGAGGACATCCTGAAAGAGTTCATTGAGAATGATCAGTTTCTTTGTGGACACGTGATTCCACAATGGGGCTTCAAAAATGTAACCTACTGTCTCGGCACTTCGGTCCATAGTATCCCTCTGGGCATTGACAAGTGCCTGTGAAGCGATCACAACGACCACCTCTGCCTCCATGTCCATCCACCGAGCATTCGCACTCCCGGACACATTCCTCACCCCATCGGCCATCAGGACAGGGTAGTTCACACGCCTCTCCATACCATCCATTACCACACTTGCATCGTCCAGTGGATGGGTCACAGGTTGCGGCTCGAAGACATGCGCACGTACGAACACAGCCATCACCCCATAATCCTTCAGGACAGGTATCTGCACAACGGGGTCCAATTCGTCCCGGTGGACAAAGACAGTGTCCGGTAACTCTGTCACAGGAGACTCCTGGAACGTCTGCAACACAGTCACAGGTTTCCGAGCAGCCTTTACCATACCTACCCTCAGGACAGGGACGATCACAAGCGGTTCCATGCCAACCTGGGACGAAAATAAAGGGATCAAATTGGTGGGTGCCAATCATGAAAATAAAAAATACTCGAGTGTGTTAAGGAAAACTGGCGTCTTATTCAACACCATTGCATGTAATTCATTCTCAGCTGGATAAACGGATATAGTTTGAGGAGAACTCACCTGCGGCACAACGGCAAGCACCGGTTTGTGGGTCACATTCTGCGCCATTTGTACACTGACACCGGTGCTGACAGTCGAGACCATAGAAACCTGGAGCACAAAGTCTGTCGCAATGCATATTTCTCCATCCTGGCTCACACTCACAAGCACCGGAGATGTGGTCACACGTCCCATGTTGACAAGCGCAAGTTTCAATACAATTCGGTCCGTACTTACCTGGGGGGCATTCTGGAATGAATGAAGAAATGCGATTTTGGCAAAGGTGGGATGAGTGGTATTGTGTGTGCGGTAATCTCTTTCAAGAAGAACTTCTTTAGGGTTATCTGAAAAGTGCAGATTTTGTCTCTCGTTGCAATGGCAGAATAGACATGTGAACTCGTTTGCATATATGTTTTTTTTTTGGAAAAAACGATATTCGCTATTTGTATCACAGTTGTTTGTACTACTTCGCCACTGTCTTCAAGCAGCAATGACAATGTCTACGAGATCATTTATAATGTATCCGAACATTTCGTATGCTGTGAAAGGTGTCGATTAGACACACTTATTGCTGAGGTTACCGCGAGTGTTTGACTCAGGTCTAGAGTAACAGATAGCTACCCTGTGATCTTGAACATCAAGGTATTTGCGGAGTGCCTACCTGGACATAGAGACTACTTCAAGACTTGAGTGAGCAGACCATTCGGTCTCCTGGAGCATCCCCCACCTGGACATAGAAACTACTTCAGGACTTGAGTGAGCAGACCGTCCGGTTTCCTGAAGCATCGCCTTCCGCATGTGCACGTAAAGAACTTCGGTGACTTAGTGGGCTTCTTTGAGAACGGTTGGTCATTGAGTTCGATTTTGAACATATAACTCAGATATATAAACTATGCCAATCATGGTTACTCTGACAGTCAGGCGGATAACTTAGTGGACTTGCTTTTGAATAACGCAGGTTCACCTTCCTGCATCAGCGGCTTGTAATTCGCTACACAATTCCTCTTAGAAAGGATGTCTTAGAAAGGATAGTCTGCCGGCAAACAGAACCAGGGACTGTGTCTACAAAATCAAGTGTAATGACTGCACCAAAGTCTATATAGGACAGACGGCCAGGGAACTATANCCGAAAAAGCCACCCCCACTCAGATGAGGCGCCTTACCGCTTTCCTTATGAAAGCAGTTCTTAAAGATTTCCTCGGTCACAAACTACAATACGAGTCTCCTTCCGGCAAACAGAACCAGGGACTGGGTCAAGTGGACTACGGTCCACGTCACACAGACTGATCGCCGAGGCGGCAGAAATCGCCAAGCATCCCAGTGTTGACAGAATAGAAGGCGTGGAACTGGCAAGCGTGTGAAGAACGGTTCTGGATCAGTCGAGCTGACACGTGTTGGTGTGCGGTCATCAGAAGGAAGAGTGGTCATCATCTGGATTCCACTTGACCTCAAGCCCTCAAACTAAATTGTCGGGGAACTCAAGACCCCGCAAAAACCAGGGAAAATCTACCAGTGGCAACCGAGGTGAATTATCAACTGAAGCACCATGAAGTGGGAGATTAACGAACCAAACCCAATCAGGATTAATTTAAACCCCTCTTCAATCCATCAAAGCAAGATTTTGACAATTTCACTAACCGACAAGGGCCGTAATTGACACTCAACACTGATCTAGTGTGATAATCTGAAGATGACTGATTTACTGATTGGTTCCCCGTCTGTCTTACAACCTGGCCAATTTGGTGACCTGTTCACTTAGCCTGATGAAGCTTTTGTGTCAAAAGCGAAACGTTGCCCAAATAAAAACTACCGATTGTTTATCAAACTCTTCTGAAAGGATGTATACCTGTTTTTCATCGACAAAAGACTCGGAAGGTAAAAGCCACGGGATTGTCTAAATATTGCACTTTCAACCCAAGTGCGACTGGGGAGCTTTCGGAAATCCGTCGATCATAAGTTGCGATTTGGCAGAATCGGAGATGAGTAGTGTGTGCACAAACTGACTGTTAGTCGCCTGATTCAGTTGACAGATTGACCGTGGACAATTCCCGATATCCCACAGTCCACAGGCTGATAAACTCTTAATGCAACTGCCTCACCAGGTTGGCTAGGCAGAATGGGTGGGAAAATTAGAAGACCCTCAGGGCTGGACCAAGTTGGGACGCTTGCAGTGAACTTGTGGGGCTGGAAGCGCACCTGTATAAGACTACAAAGAGCTACTGATAAAGAAGGGAACGCATTTAAACTTTTAAACTAGTCCAAACTCGTTATGATGGCAGCATCGGTCTTTGACAAAATGCCTATGGACTTTTTTATTAGCACAAAAATAGATTTTCCACCAGGTTGCCATGGTGACTTATCGGTGAACATATCAAGAGTTGAATCAACATATGGATTAGATTGTTGAAAACTCCTGTTGAACCCTGAAGCCTGTTAAAAACTTCATTTTGATCTTGGGCAGTAAAATTTGAACGGATCAACCACAATAAAGAACAGAATCTACAAAAGGCGGAAGGTTGGACATCGATCAAGTAAACAGTGAGAAGACGGACAAAAGTGTGACTCAGACCGGAGGTGGACCAATCAGAACAAGGAAAAGCAAAGAAAGGATGGTATCTAACGCTTGATCAAACACAGTATAGACAGCAACGCAACATAGATCGCAGACGAAAGAGCCAAACCAAGCTGATAGTAGCTACTGAACAGCCACTCATGGTGAAAATATAAGGCACTCTTTAAAGACTATATATCAGGAAGGTCAGATTCATAAGAGCAACCACGGAATGCCCGAAATCCACTGAAACCCTCAGCTGTGATAAATGCTGACCAGACAGGCAACGCCCCCTCAATTTGTAGCCCTTTACAGTCTTGTATCAAACCCAGACAGTGCGAGTCAGCATTGGTCAAGGTCAGACAACGCCCCCGCAATATGCAGCGCGTCGCAGCCCCGTACCAAAGCCAGACCGCGTACGTCAGCATTAGATCAAGTTAGACAGTGTCCCTCCAACAGCTAACTTGAGACCGTTGTATTTTCGCACTCCCACTCGCATTCGCACGCACTCAAGCTCTCGCACTCGGTTGTTTGGACTATGGCTGTCGTGTTCCCTGCTGTGAGGCTTTTTTTCCGGTACTAGGTACTGGGAGGGGGAGAGTCAGCAGTCAAATACAGCAGATTGGCGAATCAGCAGATATAGCACGTAAACGTATAGAGGGAAAATACCCAACCTCGAATGGTGATAGAACGATTGCAAGCCAATTTCCAAGACGGACAACTGTGAACTGGTCAGCAGGGTACCCGAGCTACAACTATTCCGACGTAATGTTAACTGCGTTCTGACCACATGCATCTATGTTTTATGTATTTGGTCTAAAAATCCAGCTGTTCAGTTTAATCTTTAGTGCTGGCAATTGAAACTATTACCCGGTTCGGTGCCCCGTGATGGAGTAAACGAGTATAGTGTTCACTAGCCCAAGAACCTTAGACAGGTTGACAAAACCGGCTGGCTTGCACGGGCATTCAGCATGCTGTAACGTTGTAGGACCGACTAATGGCCTGAGGCGCTACACATTGAGTTTGGTTGCTACTGTTTGATTGCATCAGTAATCATTGTGTTGATGGTAACGTTGTAGGACCGACTAATGGCCTGAGGCGCTACACATTGAGTTTGGTTGCTACTGTTTGATTGCATCAGTAATCATCTGTGTTGATGACAATACATTTTCTTGTTATGACGAAGTCCGTGGATCGATTACTCATGCCTCCTCAAACCGCACCTTTTAATTTTGTTCAAGGCAATAGGGAATCTCAATAGTAGCGTCTACAGGGACCATTTTAGCATCTTAGGATGAAGTGACCCAGCGTAGGAGTATGTGATAACAACATCTAAAAATTTCAAGTCAGCATTATCCCATCAGATTTGAGAGGATTTAACGGAATCATGTTAGTCCATTTCTGCCTCCCATGTAGCACAGAAACTTACGTGCACTTGCAGTGAGAGAAAATATCGACATCTATGGTCTTGAGCATCTGGACGAACCCCGGAGTGGCTGATTTCGCACCCGGATTGTGCGTCTCACAAATCAAACGAAAACTCACAGTCATCGATCGTGAGACATCTTGACAACAGCCATCGCGTTCACTCCGCCAAATGATACCAAGTATTTCTGGGAAACCTGAACCTCAAGTTGCTGGAAGTTTTCAGGATCAGTGCAAACAGCATGTACCAAAAAAGGTGTTTATTCTGGCTTTGTGGTTACGATGGCGCCGATATATGACGGAATATTCGTAATCAACACTTGTCATATAACCATTCATGTTTTACGCCAACCACTGAGGATGGTCAAGTATGACATAACATATCAGAGCATATCTTCTTTATGACTAATCAGAATGAAAATAAGCGGGATCGGGCCGTTCTGCTAGGAAAAGCCTTCCAAATTTGTAAAGGGCTTTTCAAGCTCGTTCTATTGCGATTCCTGTCGCTAGCCAGGAATAGCATTATTTATTGAAACGTGATTTTCATGTCAAATGCTCATTTCCACTCCTGTGGCCATAAATTCTTGGTGATCCGAAGTTCAAACCATTGACACTACCTCTTATCTGTCGGCTACAAATCGATGGTACCAAAATCTCATGACTGTCACTTGTTTTAGTTGGCTTGAACAAATTTTTCCGAACAGATGCATCCCAGTTTCATCGCAATATGACACCAAATCCCTGAAGTGTCCATAGAAATTTGGGAAAATACGTTTCTCTGGATATTGTAAGTTTCTTTATGTGAAAAGCACACATTCTATTGACTTACTTTCATCGCACCTGGTCCCATTGTACCCGGCGAAGCACACACATAGTCCGGTCTGTTTATTGCATTCCACACCGTGAACGCAGTCACAGACATTTGTACATTTTGGTCCCCATCTTCCAGGTGGACAGGCTGTGCGTAAAAAAGCGTGAACAAGAGAAAATGATTGTTATTAGAGGCCGGACGTCTTCAAGGGTCTGGAAAAACCAGTTACATTGCACAATCATGCACCACTTCGTTATCAAGTGTGTTCACTGTGCCCCGGTAAGCGGTCGCATATCACGTCAGGTGTCTGTAGCTTACACTCCGGCATGGCAAAGTAGATACACTACTGATTACCTCCGATGAGTACGGTGCTTTCCCTCTTTGGAATGCACTCACCAGCTGTATTGCAGAACAGTAAGTGGAGAGTGTTTTGAACGTGAATGCAGACCGTTCCGCGTGTAATGTGGTGGAATCATCTCAAGACTAGGAAAAGTGTACATATTTTCACCCGGTTCCCATTACCAGCTGTCTCCAACCGGTGAAAATGAAAGGAAGAAGGCCTTCGCTGAAAAGATATTTACTAGAAGATGCCAACTGAACAGTTACAGACTATTGGGTAGGGAAGCGAAACTCTCACATGCATCTTGCTTACAAAACTGGATACCCATCTTCTCCTCGAAAGCGTCTTCCTGAACTTCCCTGGATATTCATTGACTGTTGCTCAGATCCAAGCAAATGCTACAAAGCGACTCCATAAATTCCGCTGTAGATCTCACTTCTCAAGAGACGCAAAGCGGATTTATGAGAAAACATACTACTCGCGTGCCTCCCCCTTCAGTAGTATCACGGTTACAGTAGTACTAATTTGATATCGACTGTAAGGGGAGTTGACAACGCAGTGTCTGTTTGGAGAGGACAAGATGCACCCGGAGAGTGACTAAAACGACTAAAACAATAAGAGTAGTTTACTAAGTAAGCTACAAAGGACTCTGGTCTCAGCGCATGTTTAGGTCGTAAAACTTCACAAGTCTCTGGCCACATCGACTAATAGGCTGGCAGTCGTAACCTATCATAGTTGTTCGCGAGCTTCATGGACGATCACCACAGGGGACCGTAAACATAAAAAGCTATACTCATGCAAAGGTGAATTAAGTGAGGCGCTAGTATATAAACTACCTGGACAGTATGCAAAAAAGTATATAAAAATGTGAATGTACACACATTTTCACCTTTCTAGAGAGACCAAGGCAGGACAAATCACTCTTAGCTGGTCTCTTGAAGCACGTTCCACTGGTAACCCTAGCCTAGAATAGGATAACCCACAGTGGATATCTGTTCTAGCCAGTCAGTTGAAATATTTACTCGACGGAGTCTGGTTCCTGTAGTTTTGAACATGACGAAGCAAGCAATATTTCTTTTAGATGCAGAAATTGCGGAATTAGCACTGAGTTACTTATTCGAAACTACTGTGCTGGTATACTCTGGAGACGAAGATGTCACCGTGTTCATGACAGGCTAACCTACCGGACCAAAAGTTTACTCCTGTGTCTTCGACCGCTTGCGAAAGCCAGCGAGGGAACCGAAATAACTGGTTAGTACCCACGTAATGAAGACATAGGAGACACTATGCACTTTTAGTAGGATCTCAAACATTAGGCACTATTGCATGGCGCGTTTCCACGCAGGTCCGACGCTCGATAACTGTCCATTGTTGTGATTGGTCCACACATATTAGTCGTTGGACGACTGGTTCCCTTTTTCACTAGGCAGCGGTCATTTAGCATTCATGGAAATCGCTCCAGAAAGACACCTACTTCCAGGTTTGCTTAGCAGCTCACATTCATAAGGCAGACAAATATTCAGTAGTCTTGTGGGTTTATTTATTTTAACTGAATGTGGGAGATATGAGAAAACAAGACAGCTCGATAGATTTGATTACCTGGTTCATCGTTCGAAGCAAAGCGATCGTTTTCTGAAAGAAACAAAAACGCAGAAATTAAGGAGACTGGTATGATTAACTTGCCTGTGGGTTAGCCAGCAGAAAGTTTAAATCCAAATTCTTTACTAGTATCAGCCTGATTCCAAGGAAAAAACAAGAACGCGCTAATCTCCTCATTAGGTCGTTCGTAAATTTCGTCAAACAGCAAAGCGTGATGGATGTTGCCAAATATCAACAAGAAAACCGAATTCCCAAAACAAGTATTTTGTACCCAGTCAATGCGAAAAAATCTTCTCGAAGAAGGGCACACAACAGGCGATTTGCATATTCTTAAATACATGTCGGACATACAGCAGCATCGTCATGGTGGTCATGCTTTTGCTCCCTGCCATTGAAGAGTGAAGGCAATAAGGCATTTCCTTCACACCGCTTCGTATTGCCACTTTTTTCAGTATATAGTCTCACTGCTACTTGTCGGGATACTCCAGGTGTGATTGAACATTTTGAGACTGAGTTCCGGCCACTATAGTCGGCAGGATCATTGCATCCCTGAACCCCGCCCCCCATGACGTTGTGTCAAGGTTTGGTATTGATTAAAGTCCATCAGTGAAAACTAGCATTAAATAACTGAGTCGCTTTTGTAATTCTCATGTACTTGGATTTGAACTGCAAGACGGGACAAACCGTTAGATTTTGACGTTAACAGGCACAGCTTTGTCACGTAGCTAATGATGTTCGTGCATCATTTCTGTGGCTTCCGTTGCGTAACATTCACTCCCTGACATACTTTGCAAATATGTCTATTTCAGTGAACGAATATATCCAACAAATGGCTCTGATTGCTTTAGTCTCACTGTCCTTGGTGGACAAAACTGTGACTGCTTGATAAACCGAAGTCAATTGAACTGCTTCACAACGTGTGTACTGTGGGCTCATTCTTGAGGCCAGCCACGGTCACTCGCTAAAATGTAGTATTACATTTTGTGAGGCAACATCCGGAAATTACACGGGGAGCATACCACCACTACACTACTATGCATTAATATAAGAGGGAGGTCTTTCGAAAGAACAAACGGCAGGGATATACGAGCGTCTTGCGGATGCAGCGCTCCCTCGAACAAGGACAATTCATTTTCGAACTGACAAACTGGGCTCAGTCAATGAACCGTCTCCTTTGGGATGGAGGGAATAGAACACTGCATCGCCTTCCTTCATGACACTTGTTGTATGCTAGGTACTCCCTTTAAAGATGGTCCTTTTGTTCACGGACAGTCTACTAAGTACGCTCTCACTTTGGAAACGTCAACTGGATGGCACCGTGGATTTCCAGTGAAACGGGCGTCTTGTGCTATTGAGCTTCAGCAGTTTTCAAATACTTCCGGAAAGGACGAAAACTTGGGCATTGTCAAGATGTTAGCGGATCACATCCAAACCTCAGTCGTCTAATAGCCTAGGACAGACTCAACCACAAGAATTCCACTTACGCATACCACATTTGGTACCCACGGTTCCATCCTCACAATGGCATAACCCAGTAACAGGATCACAAGCTGTTGCGCCAAGGCCACACTCGCACTTTTTCTCACACCCCGGTCCGTAGGTCCCCGGTTCACATCCTGCAAGAAAGATAAAGAAATTGATGAGTAAGTTAGACGAACTGTCGTTAGTCAGCCAGCAGAAACAAGTCAATGCACTGAACACTGAATACTAAATACCTGATTCCGTTTAATGAGGATAGACTTCCTGGTTCAGGGTTTCACCCCAAAAATGGCAGTACGTTGTCACCAGACTCTACTCCATCGTGACCCGCACATACACATTTTATGAAGAATTCAGGGTTAATATGGAACATCTCCACCCAATTTTGTCCTCCATATGTTAAATTAGGCTTGCACTCATCCGCCGTTAGAATTTGATTCAGAATAAATTACCGGGCCGTTTGTGACAAAAGTGCCTTCCGGCAAGTGTGCTGAATGACTCTCCTGTACCGATCCTAAGCTAGCAGCATTTTGTCTACGACACGACGTTTGCTTAGTTAGTAATCATGTACTTCTAAACCGGCTGGCATTAGGAAGGTTGATCAAGAAGTGCTTTGCCTGACAGGCACATCTAACCCATTTATTCGTACCAAATATCACAGTGGTTCCATCAGCCAACTGAAAATATCCATTTTGGGCATCTAAGTGTCCGCAATAAGCCTTAAAGTATTTTGCTTTGCTTATTCGGTCCCCTTATGAATAGCGCCATCTTGTGCTCGATTCTTACGACAAACGTGGACAGGGCACTCTGGTTGGTCGGCACAAGATTTACCTGGTCCGCTGAACTGAGTATCGAATACTCGGAACAATCTCTGAGTTCCATATATCTGTATAATTTTCTTCTTTATTAGTGGTGGTTGGTCACGCCAAGTGAAGATTTTGCCCTGTCATTGAAACTAGTCTATGTTGAAAAGCTGAAAATTACAGTACAGTTGTTTCATCCTCGTTGGAAATCATCGGCACGCCTCATCTCATGAAACTCAGAGAGTTTGTGATATGTAACCTTCTAGCTTATGGTTGAACACTTAACCGTTTGGCCTCGAACGGTTGATCAGCACTGCGATTAACTCACAATTAGACCTCCTACTCGATTACACAGATCAGTTCAGCGTCTGACAGAAAGCTAGACAAAAAATTAGATTTCGCAGTCGAATGAAAGTTCTTCGAATTAACTGGAGATGTCTGGCCTGCATGTCTTTAGGGAGCTACTTAACCTTGGCAGAATAATGAGCATTTACAAACTGTAATTTGACTACGAAGAACCAATCCTTCCTGAATCAGCTTCCAGTTGTATTATGAGGGATAACTTCCAAGCAGAATCCGTGTTATGCTTTGGACGTTGGTCCTTTTGAAGCTGCTAGCCAATTAGCGAATATACACTCATTTGCAAACTAATTGGTTCTTTGTGTTATGCTTTGGACGTTGGTCCTTTTGAAAGCTGCTAGCCAATTAGCGAATATACACTCATTTGCAAACTAATTTGGTTCTTTCAAGAGACTCACGTGGAACCCAGCTGAATCTCTCGTTTTTGATGTTCTCGGGCAAATGAATGTGCTGCACCAGGCCGCCTCATGTTTCAGTCGCTACGATATTTGAAATATCGCGATGCATGTATATCTTTGTAATGCACTACTACTGCTAACCAACTGTTCAGTGAGTTGGTTATGAGTTTGAAAATTAAGCCGGGAAATCTCTGACGACACTGCTAGAAACATAATTTTAATGCAACTTTTAACGTTCTGCAAGTTGCTCAAAGCAGTAACAACCATTCACATTTAACTGTCTCGTAATTCATGGAAACCGTTTCTATCCCACCACAGGGTTGCACTCAAACTTTACAAAAGCATTATTTATTAAAAAGCACACAGGGACTGCTGAACTTCCAAGAAGTTTAGGAAATTTTTATATACTTTTGTTGAAATCGTAATTGTACCAGACCTTCAGATGATTTTCACACAACATGTTCAACAGTGCTTGTTAGAACAGGAAGCACATGACTTACGAATGTCACATCTTGCACCCCGATAGCCGGCTTTACAGATACATTCGCCCGTACGTGGGTTACATGCGACAGGCTGTCCGTTCGAATCGATCCCACACTGGCATCGTTTACTACAATAGGCACCCCAGTAGCCCTCGTCGCAATCTGCGGAGCATACAGGTGAAGAAGCATGAAAACATAAGGAATTTGGAATGAAATGAGGAAATCTCTTAAAAGCTTAGCTTGATACCTACCCTGTTCACATCGAGGTCCTTGTTTTCCGGGCGGGCACTGGATGGTACATTTCCCACTGACGGGATCACATCCTCCTGTACACTCAAAACAAGTCTGTCTACAATCCATCCCAAAGTATCCACGAGGACATGGTAGTATACATTCTGGTGGTCGGTAACCGGGCTGACATATACACTGACCAGTCTGCAACAAAGCAAGATGAAGAAATGAGTGAATGTTACTTGAATTTGACAATTTTTGATGTACTTGTCGCCTGGAATTTCGTAACTAAAGCTAGAGGCATATTTTATGAGATATGATTACTGGAAGCTTCACAAAAAGCTTCACGTCATGCTCAAATTAACTCACTAGCAATTTTTAAGCTTAGGTGTAGGTTTTCTAAGTCGGTATGTTCCTGGATCGTTGTACGGTGCTCTGCAACCAGTAGCGCCCCACGAAGGTTACCTTGAATTAGCATTGAATTTGAACAGAGTTCGTTGTACAGCCCTTTCTGTAGCATGGTAGTTTGGAAAGTGGTCTACTGAGCGAGACTAAAGCCTGAAAAGTATTGCTATTAGTTACGTCATGAAGTTTTGTCGTTTCAGAATGTTCAGATACTTTGCCAGATGACACACAGTAGCCAAAAACCATCGCGATTTGCAGGTGTACTTAATTTGTCGTGACATTTTCTGGTGAACTCAGTACTGGTTGCCAAATTATGCATGAATGGAATTCACATTCACAATGTTCTCGCTTGAAGACCTTCCTGCGTGTGCTCATATCAAAGAGGGGAAGCACTGGATTCAGGCTTCGCTCTCACGAGAACTCATCAGCATCTCACATCCTTGGCCACGCCCGGAGATATCACATGCGATGCAGGTTTGTTGTAGAATGCACCTGACTTATCCGAAATGGTCCAGTAGGTTTCAGTTGTCAGTGGCAACCTGACTGGGAAGTCTTGACGGGTGAGTCCAGGACAGTTACTGGGTCGTCTTTGGGTGCAAGCCATTCACGTCGTGCAAGTGTGAGCACATTTGCTTGTTCGGACGTGACGCTTCAGGCACGCCTGGCTTGCGCCGGTGGTGTAGTCATGACGCTTTCGCGTCACATCTCGGATGTCCGGAGTTTGATTTCCAGTACGGCCAGGGATATGTGGTGCAGATGAACTCTAATAAGAGTGAAATTGGAGTTCAGTATTTTCCCCCTTTGATGTGCATACACCAGGTGTGTAGCTGGACAGCAGGAAGACTGTTCTACAAAGAGTGATTACAAGTCACACAAATATCTATCCAGTCTTTAGAAATGATTGTGAATATAATGTAGACATTAATTCTTGTGGTAAGTAGGCACCCACCTGTGGGTGGCACCCTCTGGTTTTTCCTCCTCTGCATTCTTTACTACAGGACTTTTGGCACATTTCACCCCAAGTTCCCTCGGGACAACTTAGATGACACTGAGCCCCATAGGTTCCGGGGGCACATGTGCACTGGCCGGTGTCTCGTTCGCATTGATTGGTGGCACAGTGATCCGGGCATATTCGGTCACAGTCTCTGCCCCAGTATCCGGGTTGACAACCTGCGATCTCGCATTTGTCACCGTGGCGCCCGACGGGACACTTACAGATGCCAGAGTTTGGATCACACGGGATGCCCTCCATACAGTCACATAGTTCGCGGCATCCGAAACCCCATCGATTCTGCAAAATTAGGGAACCAAAGGAACAATCAATTAATCAGTCTAAACATTATATCTTGTATACATTCGAGGAAGGAGTTTCTAGACTCCTAGAGACAATAGATGGGATAAATTTGTCTCCACATTTTCAATCACCTTATTTACCTACTCAAGATCAAAGATTCTATCGTCTTGACAAGCGTCTACAGCGAAGCATAAATAAAGGGGACAAGGCAATCCAAACGCTTGCTCAAACACCTGAGTGAGTTGTGGAATAATGTTTTTGGTTTTTAGCATAGTTGATTTCAGGTACCCAACAATCAAAGTGATGAAGTAGCAAGGTAGCACGTCTTTGGGAAGGTTTCATCACAAAGCACAACGATTACAGCATACGTAATGTTTTGCACTACACAAGATTGTCCTCGAACGAGCATCAGCTATGCTTCAGTGTCGCTGGCTTAAAAACCAGTACGTTCCAACTGCCGTTTCTCTGTACTTGGTCATTTCGAAAATCCTTCTCAGGGAGTTAGACTCGACAAGTTAGCGATACACTTTTGTGAGCCGTCCCTCTGTTGCTCTTCACAATCACATATTTCTAATCTGATAACCAACAGGAGATGAAACAGCAAAAATAGTCACGAGTTGTCACAGTTGGTACGCAAACCTAACGGTAACTTTGTTTTTGTATGCTAACAGGGAAGTGATAAATCCGTATCGATTTCAAAGGCCATTAACCTGATTGATCGTCAAGCAGTTTTAATCCGAGACATCAGATGAGCTCGAAATTCCACAGAATGTTCCGATTTAGACAGAGGTTTCACAAGAATCTAAAACGCCGACTGTTCGATCATGAGATGAGCCACTCAGAAGAAAGGATGAAGACTTGTGAAATAATATTAACCAAGCGACCATTCAAGTACTGAGAAATCTTATCAACCAAGATGTCATATTGATCAAATTGATAGTAAGCTTGGTGATCACCTGTGGAACTTTGGAACCTTGTCAGGATTATAAGAGCAAAAAATGCCGTACAAGGACTAAAATATAAAGATTTTTACCTCCAAGACATTGCCGCAATAGAGAGTAACACGGGCAAAACCAGAAGAGCATATCTGATAACTTTTCAAAAGTTCTCAAGCATGTACTTTCAATTTTTCCATGAAACACATCAGAATAATTATACAGAAGCATGCGATGAGTATGCGGCGATAGAGAAGAGACGAAATATGACATGTCATTTGGCGCAACCACCTTGGAACTCTTCAGATACCCGACGAAGTATTTGCCTAAAGAACAGATGATGCATGCGTTAACCGTTTAGATTTCTGAAGTCACAGGTGACTGACAAATCTCTTACTTGTGTTACATCGCATTCACATTTTATTACTTGCATTCCATTGGTGGTAATAGAAGATGAGTTTAGCAAATAGCCTCTGGGCAACCGGAAAACGGTTTGAAGTTCATTTATCATATCCATTGGAAATCTGCTCATCGCATTGAAAATACCATTGTTAGGATGCTAGCAAGAACTTCTAATAACGGTTTATTCCTCCTGGTCCATCAGCCTATGTGCTAATTGTGCGCCGCACTTGAATGTCCTATCCACAAAATCGGCCAACATAAGTCGAACAAAAACAGCAGAACAGTCAAATAAGTTTATCGCACTTTTTTCATTTTAATTAGATAGCAAGCAGGAAGTTCCAGAAATGGTAAGTTTCCGGGTGAAATTACAAAGTTGGGCAATCATTTTCCCTACCGGGGGAGCAGTTGTAGTGCAGGATGACAGCTCTAAGGACCTGTTACTTTATCATAGTTTGAAATAACTTCAGAAGACTCTAACTGGACAGCTCACCTACACGATTTGATTTACAGCTTCACGTGGTAACTTTCGATGGGAGGTTTTGTGTTTCATCATTACAAATACATCGGTCAACTGTTAATTACTCAGAGATCTATTGGATGGAGAACTGTACATCCTACTGATCACAATCACACTACGCTCGTAATTTGACCCTCCGATCCAAACAGTCGAGTTGCTTTTACCTGGCCCAAGTTCACATGTACGGACAAAACCGGTATTTTGCGGGTCTCTCGACCATTGTCCCCTATAGCGGAGTCTTTGCTATACTTACCGGTGCGCACATATCATGACAGGTGAGTCCCTGATAGCCGGAAGGGCAGTCACAGCCTGTCAAATCGCGGTTACATCGTCCACCATTTTCGCAATGTGAACAGGTGAGTTGACAGTCGTCTCCAAATCTGCCAGCTGGACAGGGATGTCCACCTTAGTGGCGAAGAAAAATTCGAAACCGAACGATCAAGGGAATGTAAATAAACTGCGATATTATTATTCCTGTGTGACAAGATACACTGGACAAGCAACTGAAATTCGCATAACACCGACATTCTTACAAAACAACGGGTAACTTGACGCCACATCATGTGAACACACAAAGACAACAGTCAAGCTGGAACAGCAGGACCAACTTTTTAACGCAGAAGAAGTTGACTGAGGCTGGTCGTTCATCATCACTGAAAGATGCAGATTTGAATGCGAAAGTGTGGTCAGTTTAGACAAACAAGGCAAATATTAAGTATATTCAAACAAAACAAAGGCTGCCTTTATTCGAGACGATATGTAGAACTAGCGAATACATTGGCAGATCAATTTGGTTTTTCAAAAGACTCACCTGGAACCCAGCTGAATCTCTCGTTTGTGATGTTTTCACGCAACTGAATGTGCTGCTGACGAATTTTCAGCAAACTTATGAATTGTGCATTACGAATATACATGAATCGCGAGTGTATTCCGCTAATTTCGTGCAATTTGGTTTCAAGCAGAACATAAGGTTGACGGAAACCCAGGGACTGCGCCTACCTGATGAGCTCCAAAAAGGGCGAAACCGGTCGTGGGCTGTCGAGGGATTTTCAGCAACTTCATGAGTAGTACATTACAAATGTAGACGTGTAGAACTCTTTTGATTCTCGTGGTATGAAGTGAAAAACTATCAGGTTAAGGCACTCCGTGATGGAATTTATGTTGCTTTATCAGTGTAAACAGTTAGGAAATTGGTTCAGCACAGAATACCTTCCTTTGCTACGTTAAACTTAAAAGGTGGATCTCTCTGAAGAGAGTCCAATCCTCACTGAAGTCTAATGTAATGTTTCTCGACGTTCAACCTCATTTGGAAAAAAACAGCTATTAAAAAGCATTTATCTCTTTTAGAGGAATTACCCTACAGTATGAATGCATCCTTGAAAAGGGAGCTTAAATTATTACCACCCAGCATATGATCTCTGTTATGACTAGGTTTTGCCACGCAAAAAGTTCTACTGAAAGCAGCTTGGTTACATAAAACATGGTGTACGTGGGACTTATTTGATGGTTTTCCGGTCTCTGATCCAAAAATCGCGACAAAATCAAACTTGACTGTGCAGCCAAGGCACTCAATAGAAAAGAGTCGGTGCTGAGTTCACATCACCGGCACGCTGATTAGTCTACAGCAGTGCGGGGAACACTAGGCTCAAGTTTCTCTGTCATTAGAACTAATCAGCAATACATCTGACTGGACATCTGACGTGCGAGACTAGCAGTACCGTCACTTCTACACAGATGAGTATGAAAACAGACTACAAACCTCGCAACTACCCTTGGTTGAACAGTCACTTGGGGAAGTTGTATCTGCCGCTTGATCCCCAACACAGTCAGGTGCGCATAAGCGTCTTATGCATCCAATAAGTCGGCTTTTCTCGACAGCGTCTAGAGCTGAAGAGCGATGGAGATATCTCGGTGACTTCATCATCATCATCATCATCATCATCATCATCATCATCATCATCATCATCATCATCATCATCATCATCATCATCATTACCATTATCACCATCATCATCATCATCGTCAGCTGTAATAACCGCGTACTTGTCGTAAAGTGGTTGCAGCTACCACAGTTTCGTTCACCGATGATTTGGGGAGGTGGGGTAAGTAGCTGCGCATTGGAGGCGGGAGCTGATAAATTGGTGCGTAACTACAGCACTGTGGGTGAACTTAACAGTGCTGAGTATTGGAAACACAGAATGAATTAGTTGTGCTCTCACAACAGTTGCCCACTATACCGGCCACTCTGTGGAACCAAAATGACTGTTAAGTGGAACGATTATCTTCGGAGATACAATAAGAAACTCTCCAAATTCACTCGTCTATCACCCCGCTGTCAGCTGTCCTTGTGTCATCGTGAATAGAAACCTGTCTATAGTCAGGAGCTTACAGTTGTTTCCCTCTGAATAGAAGACACTATTTTGGTCTACCCATGAAACGAAATTTAGTGGTAATAAAACTCTATTCTGGGAAAGACCCTGTCATAAGAGAGCACTTTTGACTGGTGTCTTTGGGCGATCATTCTAGATGGAAAAATATCGTTGCAATTGTTTTCGAATGCACATTCAGCGATTTTCAGCTGCATCTGTGTGATACTGGACATCTTCATTTAGTCGATGTTTATCTGACACGATGTGAAACATGAGGATATACCCGTTCCAGCTCTAGAGATAATAACATATTCATACAAAAGATAATGGACTTGAGTTATCAGTTTGAAAAACTGGGTCCCGTAAATTCATTTGACCAAGAAGACAGAGATTGCAAGGCTAACATTTCAAATTACTTTTCGTAGTCACGTTTATGCTCAACAGGTATTGTAATAAGGCTTAGAAATTGATTTTTGTGTGAGGCCTCGTAGAGAACGTTGTAGCGTATTCAGCTCCATGGTAAGCATGTGACCTTGTGTTGCTTAAACTGCATGGTGTCATTTGAGGGCCACGGTGTATGAACACTTCAGACCCATAGAACCAAACAGTACGAGTGAGGCTTGCCAAAAATCCACGAATCGAACGTGCTTTGAGACTGATGTGCAAAATTTAGCCTATCCTAACGGGTCAGTAGGCATTCTCTACCACGTTTGGAAACTTCAGAGCATCATTTGTTTGAAAGACTCCTCTGAACTTGGCTGGACACTTGACAGTTTACCAGTAAGTTTCCGGATATTACTTTTCATTCGTCTTGATTCTTCCACTGCGGGAAACAGATGTTTTTTGATCTACTATACACCCTCAAGTATATTCGATGAAGTATAAACTTGACTTATTGATACGCTAAGAAGTATCAAGGACTTCTGAAGCATGCGCATAAACTCTTAAACTTCCATATAACTTCAAAGTTTTGCATGGGACACCGATTTGTCTTTTACACTTTTTGTTGGTCACTTGGTCGACGTTTCCTAATATAGAAAGCCCACGCCACCTTTTTGAATCGACTGGCTCTTTGATCGACATTCTATGAGCATCAACCGCAGTTTGCGGAACATCCTCTTTCGGAGGTGAACATTATGACAGGCTTGACATGTGTGTTCATAATTAAAATATGTTCAATATGAAGAAGTTAAATCTATCCACACAACCGTCTTTGTGATAAACAGCCAGGTCAACAGCCGCCTCGAGTATGGTACCAACTGAAACATGAGGCGACCTGGTGCAGCGCATCGAATAGCTTAAAAATATCATAAACGAAGGATTCAACTGGAACCCAGGTGAGTCTCTCGCAAAAACCAAATTCGTTTGCGAATGAGTGCACTTCGCTAATTTTGTGCAATCTGAATTTAAGTAGAACGCACCTATCTGATGAAATTCAAAAAGTGCGAAACCGGTGTTGGGCTGTTGAATAGTTTTCAGCAAATTTATGAGTAGTGTATTCTGTGGATGTTATTTTCCTTGGGTTACTTCCCTTGAGTGCAACACTTCGAGAGCTTCAATGAGCTTCAATGAAAAAAGCTATTTAGGAGAATCTCGACAAGCTTACTCTATCGGGAAAACCGAGAAGAGCACAAAATTTGCCCGGAGAATCTTCTTTCTTCAGCCCAGTTATTGTGGCTAACTTTTCATAGAGGAAACTACTCACAAGGTTGCTGAAAACTATTCGACAATCAACGACCGGTTTCGCCCTTCTTGGGGTTCATCAGGTAGGCGCAGTCCTCGAGTTTTCGTCAACCTTATGATCTACTTTAACCCAAATTGGACTGTTTTCGAGAAATACACTCATTTGCTAATCAATTTGGTTTTCACGGGAGACTAAATTGAAGTTCTCGTTTATGATGTCCTCCAGCAATTCGGGTCCAAGTATATCATAAATTTGACAAAAACTTGGGGACTGAGACTAACTGATGATCCCCAAGAAGGGCGAAACCGGTCGTTGACTGTCAAAGAGTTTTAAGCAACTTGTGAGTAGTTTCCTTTATGAAAATATACTGGGATATCTCGAATATCGTGCAAACTGAATAATGAGACAGCCTGTGTGCAGCACATTCAGCTAGAGGACAGCATAAACGAGAGATTCAATTGAGTCCCCGGTGAAAGCCAAACTCATTTGCAAATCAGTGACTAAGTTGTCTTTTTAAAAGAAAAAGATTGATTTTCTGAGCGCAATATATTTTTGATACGCAGTATTGTAACGCAGTTTGTCAAATCATAATTACGAATCTACACTTACTTAACCCGTAACATTATCTCCCAGAGAACTTACACACGATACGGACACCTTTAGGACTGCAGGTCTGTACCAGCGAGTAAACAAGCAGTAAGTGATAAACGAAAGTTGCAAGAGAAACAATCCGAACGATTACTTAAGCCACTAACACCTGATAGATAATTAAAATGACTAGATGTGCGATTATGAAAAAAGTGAAGCCATTGAATGACTGTCGAAGGCATTCTAAGTTAACTTCATTCAAAATCAAACCGAAATCTTACTTGAATCTACCGGAATACGTTTCCTCGAGAAAACTTGCACACCACTCTCCTGAACGCGAGTATTGGCGTTTATTTGTCGCCGATTTTGTCCCGGTGAGCCCATGATAATCGCTTGGGAGGTATCGAAACCTTCGTCTCGGATATATTTTGTGGATCCTGCGAGGAAAAGCATTATAGCGTGGTAAAAATTTGTGTGGACAATGTAGGCTATCGAAATAGGTCCTTATTATGGAAGATATATTATAGCAGGTTTTGAAATTTTTCTGAGGTAGACTGCTGCGGGGGATTAAGGAGGAGTCAGCTTGGTGTGGTTAATCTTGTTGCGTAGGACAAAATACACGGTCGATGTTCCATTCAAAATTTCCTGCTACTATTAGGTCCGCAGTAAAATGTCCGAGAAGAGAGAAGGGCCTGAATTGGTCACCCGGGTTGGCGCATACAATTTACGCATAAACCGCGTTGGAGCGTTTTAGTGGCTCTTGTTAAGGCAATATCGTCGGGCGGTCTCTTGGATATACTGTTCATTTCAAAACCTGTGAAGCTGATATCATATTCAAATCCCACTCTTTTACCAAAAATTGTCCAACCGTAGGAATAGTCCCATATCAGGAACGTCAAGGAATATTCATTCATTTGCCGGAGTTTTTGGAAAAAATTTCAAGTTCATTTTGTGCAGCAGTTCAATATTCTTTTCAACCAACTTGTAACCCCCCTAGTTGAGGGACATACGAACACAGTCAAATGGAGCAGCACGAAAGAATAAAACCTCTCCTTCATATCTTTCTTACTCAAAACTTTGCAAGTAGTGTGAGACAAAAGCAAAATTATCGTAAGCTACGAGACGACCGCATACATCGTGGGACGAAGTTCATAAAGTTTCAGCAACAGACCTCCAGGGCAAGTATGTTCAGTCAGTTAGAAAACGGTTGGAACCGAATGAGAAGCCACAGTTTTCGGAAAAGTTGGGGAAACAATCGGTAGATTTATTACTATGAAACGTTTCGCTTTTGGCACAAAACTTCGTCAGCTCATGTGACTGGTTGGTCAAGATTTAAGGCGAAGGGAGAATCAATTAGCTAAGCCACGCTGAATCAGAATTGGGTGTGTTCTAAGGGATTCGTTTGTCAGGATGAGTCAACAAGTGCTAAGAACGATGGAGGACCTATATGGATTTGGGTCCAGCTTAGGACCGTCTGTGTGGATGAGCTAGTGCTAACATAGAGGGATTCTGTGAATTTTGGCCTGTTTAGAATTTAAACCCCTTTCATAATGAGTTTACGTACATTGCAAATACACACCAGCCACGCGTCAACCCCGCTCTCCGTATGCTCACTAGTTTCACACCCTCCATTCAATTCACGCCGAGGTTTGATGATTTCCACCGCATCGGCCACCAGCCGCTGTGGCGTGAATCGCAGTCCTCGTCTCAAAACGACGACAGTCTTCAGATATATTTTACGCTTTGTCTCTAACGCATAAACCGCCATCGCCTAGTCTTTGAGCGGTGCTTTGTATTCATCTGCATTCCTCAGTGGTTTGTTTATCTTTCTCTTATGAACGCCAAGTTTGGTGAGTAGTTCATTGGTTGTTTGTCCGGTGTAAACCTTACTGCAACGATTACTTTTAGTTGCATACACACAGACCCTACTCTTTTCAACCGTGGAACTCCTTACTTCCACCAAAACCAAGCGTAACATTTCTCCATTCTGGAGCGCTACTCTAAATTTGGCTATTTTCGCGGTCTTCGAATGACCACCGATGTTTCTGTTTTATATAGAATGACTGGTGCGTCTATCCACTCCTTACTTGGTACTGGGGTCAAGATCCTTCTCAATTGCAACCTGGTCAAACTCACTGAGCATCCTATTTCCTAAAGTCTGTTGGTAATCTCGATTTGAGGTGCTCTTTGTTCGACCTTTTCTACGCACAGCGCTGTGACTTGACTAAACACTAGTGATACAATACTGGCGTATACGGACCTTGGGTGTGCTGATGAGTAGTTCAAAACTTAGCTGATCAGCTTCCGCCTTATCTCGATTTGAGGTGCTCTTTGTTCGACCTTTTCTACGCACAGCGCTGTGACTTGACTAAACACTAGTGATACAATACTGGCGTATACGGACCTTGGGTGTGCTGATGAGTAGTTCAAAACTTAGCTGATCAGTTCTCCTTCTGCCTTAAATCTTGATGAACCTCGTGACCTAGATTATTGGTCTGGCGGAGTTTTTGTGTCAAAAGCGAAACCGTTCCCAGCAATAACTCTACCGATTGTTTCCCAAACTTTTTGTAAATCCTCCACCACCTCCATTCAATGTACTGAAGTTCCAAAGGGACCTAGAGTAGTTATTCAGCAACAGTCGGACTATCATGGAACGACTCTGAACGAACAGATGGGCATGAAATTTCTACATGTAGCCTAGAGAGAATTAATTCAACTAACTGCCACAGACTTTCTTGATTCCTTCTTGTGATATAAGTCTGGTCCAAAGGAAACGCGACCTACTGGCTCTCTTCTTCATGTGATGGCCTCTAGAATTACAGCGAAGTAATGCTCTGTAAAAGGTTTAGGGTTGGTCAACAATCGCTGATGAAGGCGAATGTAATGACTGCAACGGTCGATCTATCCTACGAAACTCCAGACAAACCAAATTTCTGACACGACTTACAATCGGCGTCTTTCGTTAACGAACTTTATAAAGGAATGAGTTTTCTGGAACATGAATTGCCTTTAACTGAAGGAAAATGCCAAACTTGGAAATGCGTACAAACAGCTGTATGGACAAATTACATTCAAAGTAATAGCACTTGTTGGTGGGACCAAAGTGCCTCATTCTGACCTTGCACCAAAGTGATATTTATCTAATCGTGATGGACAGTTACTGAGACGTGAAACAACTGAGTTTGAATATACCTTTGCGAATGATGCTTATCCACCATGATCTCCCAAAATCTGAGGCGATCATGTCTGACATTTCAACATTTGTACTATTTATAGTGTTTCTTTTAACCACTGTAATTCGAAGAAGAACATTGAAACTCAGACGAACCAAAGGAGGAAGATGTATTGACATCCAGAAAGTGCTTCACTATGAATGGTCTTTGATTCAGTCGATTCCATATAACCAACTATTCTTTTGTACATCTTAGGGTGTTTCTGGTACTGTGTAATTTCAGTACGGTCAATTTTGATCTGTCCTCCTTTCAAAATACTGCGCTGTCAAATCCAACAGCATTCAATCACTTGTATGTCTCCATTCAGGAGATCCCATGGTGCAAGTCACAGCATCAAACTCTAGTGTTCATGGTTACTTCCATTTGAATAATATATGGTTGAGGACATTCAGTGTTCGCAGGCGATGTCAGTTGTGTTTGTGGCAGTGCGGCTGAGCTTTTCCTGAGCTGTACTTTGATAAATCTCAGGTCACCACTAACAGGTTGATAACACAAAATCGGAAGCTCAACAGCTCCAAAACTATTCATGTCTTTTGAAAAAAGTTGTTTGTGCGTAATGGTGGGTTATGATGCACCAAGCCAAAGTGATTTGAGAGTGAATCGTATGAGGTGAACATAACTCACGTGAACATGTTAAACCATCTGGATTGAGCTCATCACCAAGGTTACAAAGACACTGGAAGCTTCCCGGAGTATTGACACACTTGTGCTGACAGCCACCGTTATAATTCAAGCATTCATCAATGTCTACAACAAAATGAAGAGTAATTAGAAAAACCAGAAGCAGTTAGTAAGAGTCATTTAGAGTGAACGTTATCCGTCTGAAGTACAGGAATAACACGTATTAGACATCACCTACTCTAGCTGCAAGCTAGAGTAGCTTGAACAGGGATCAACTGAAGCAAGTAACTTGAATGATTTTGGAGCAGATTAAAGGAGGTGAGGGGAAGAGGTGTCACCAAATGAGTTCAACCAGATGGTTACCTGAGAACACAACCTCTGGTCGAGGACACACGAATAAATACAAACTGGGAAGTATCTGGACAAGGAACTGAACCACATTTCATAGATGTTCTCTTGGTAGCTGTGACCTGTACTGCAATTCTCTGTTTTTACTGTTGCCTTTGTGGAAAATGTCCGCTATGTTTGCTTTTGCCCAGCAAAAAGAAGAATATGACGAGGATTAAGTTATTCACACACTACTGGAATAGTATACAACTTTGCATCTGGTGAAAGAGTAAAAATGGCTTAAATTTTGTTGTCCAAGATGATGTTGGCATGGTAGTTTACCAGACTTTTGTCTTCCAAATCTTAATTCAACCACGTTGAAGAGTTAGTAAGCGTAGCAAAACTTGTCCCATGCCATTCACAAATACTTGGGGTGCATGGCGGCAGTGCAGCTACTCTGAAGACATGTTGTGTGAGGACCAGTTAGCTTCAACCCAGTGGATGGTGTTGTGCTTATCTGGATAGCGCTTTCAGTTTGACAAGACACAGAATCTCAAAAGAGGGAAGTCAAACGCCACCTGGACACGAAATCAGAAATAAATTTTAGACTGGGTCACAATGAGTTCAAGGCCACGTCTAAGGAACACAGTGGATATTCTGAAGAGACCTGTAGACAAAACACAGTTGACCAAAATGGTATCTGCATCTACCGAATATATACATATCCACAGATGGGGGAAGCAAATACAAACATATTGTCCTTGTTGGAATTGCCCAACATAGCATGAAATGTCAAGTGCTTAGAAATTGGAATTGACCTTTTGCCACGGAAGACGATCGCAAGGAGTGTTGCGACAGCAGTAAAGAGGGTCTAATTCCGAGTGAATTCAGAATTAGTCATCGCCATCCCCCATCTATCGAAATTGGGTGAACGCACTGGTGTTACGGCGACTCACAGGACTCACCAAGAAAGATGGTACCGACATGGGAAAAAACATGAAAAAACCTAGTCGCGAGACGCCGGGTAGCAAAATAGAATGGAGTGTTTCTCAAGGCGGTGGCCACATGCGTCACTCTGCTTTTTTTCAGTGCATATCGCAGCAATACCAGTCATGATGTCCATTTGAATAAGGTCTTCTGATAGAAAAAATGTTAACTATGGGACAGGGGTACCATAAACATCCAAGGTGCTTGTATCCTGAACACTCAGTGAGACGATCGGGTTAGAAAATAACAGTATGAATGCGGTATGAATGTCGGTCAGTCGTCATACAGTTCAGTGTCTCCAGTCAAGTACAGGGAGTGTCACTTAGATCCTATCCTGGAAGGCGAAAACACCAACAGCGTCCAAACCTTTCATTGAACTCCGTTTCTTTGTGCTATGTGCTGTCCTCCTCTAGCTTTCCGTTACTTCGGATTGTGCATGGAAAACAACGCTCTTTCTGGCAGAAGGTAACCTGGACATGGCTCGGACTACTTGGTTTGCCGAGCTGGATGCAATCATTGAATGGAGTACGTTCTATTTGACAAAAGACCCGTATATTACTACCTAATTTCAAATTCGCTAAGATTTCAGATGACTCCAGCAGTAGATCAGAGACACTAGTGACCAAAACCTGAAGTTTCTCATATTCTACGTCGGAAGTGGCCGTGTCTCTTAGCCACTCGACAATGCAGTTCAAACTTTTGTCTGATACACGCGTCCTGTCAGACCCATTGATACGTCATTTCGATACCCCAAGTGGCGCGACTTGGGAAACATAAATCTGGCCCTGGAAATTCATGCGTTGGTTTCGCCTGTCACATGTCGTCCAATGCCTGAAATCCTCTGAGCATGTCCAAACACTACACGTCCTGCAGTATGACAATGAACCCTGGATGTGCGGAACAAATGCTGAAGGGCTGCACGACCTCGGGCAACTTCACTTGCGCCTACAAGCACGCGAGTACAAACAGAGCGTAATGGTCGTGAAATTCTAAAACACCCCCTGTAGCGTAAGGTTTTTTGGAAGAACCGGCTGACAGAACCCAAAATCCTCTTGCATTCAAGATGCATCCAGTCTGTGGGACGCGTATGCGTATTTTCTAATATCTGATAAGGCTCTAAGTTACAGTTCGCACAGCCCATTCCCGGCGAGAATCCCGCTCGCTGTTCTCGAGTCTTGTCTTCACGTGCCTTTGGAAAACGACTTAAGCTACGCAGAGTCTGGTTACAAGGGTAAGCAAACTAACTCCTGTGGAGTTCACACTCGACGTGGACACCGTTTTTGAAATTAGGCGCTACTAAAGCCTCACTCCGGTTGGCCGGAATGGTCTGTTTCGCCCATATCCTGGCAACTAATTTAGACAAGCACCGACTGCGAAAATTCAAATCCGTTTTTAAACAGAGTCCGTAAGTGTTTGTCAGGACCAGCAGGCCGATTCGGCTTGAGGTCAAAAAGTCATCGGGAGTTCCAAGTTAGTTATCCAGGTTAACCCGATTGAACGATTGCAGAGGGTCAGCGTTGTTGTGGGCAGCATTCAACCGAGAGATTCAGGCATTCTGTTTTTTTTACAGGTAAGCGAGGTGTTGATATGACTGACTGTTTAGCTCACCAGATACCTCCTTGGAACTGTTGCGCCTATCAGCTGGATATGTTTAGCCACATTTCCAGAGTTTCATCTTTGATCGTTTTTTTTACAGGTAAGCGAGGTGTTGATATCAGTGACTGTTTAGCTCACCAGATACCTCCTTGGAACTGTTGCGCCTATCAGCTGGATATGTTTAGCCACATTTCCAGAGTTTCTCGCATCTTTGATCCACTCGGCTTTTTGAAAAAATCAAGCTTCTCGATCCACGCAAACGCTTCCACCGGAAACCCGACAGTTCATCGAGTTTTATTGGACTATTGACCAGGAGGAACATGTGTCCAATCTTCGAGCTGTTTCAGAGTACCACTCAAGATATGCTGCTTAGATTTGTTTGGTTGCGTCATTCTACACTCAGGGCACCCAACATATTGCTGGGTTGCAGACATTATTTCTCAGTAAGTCAGCTTCAGGGGACATCTTGTCCGAAAGAGACTTCATTAGGTGTTTTCGATAGGTTTGTCTTATATACTGATCCGATAGCTTCCGGATTACCCGACGATGTCTGAGCATCCTGCGCACCCCTGAAAATTGCAACAATAAGCAGCGACGAACAAGCGTGTGACCCCAATCAACATACGCGCTCCAGAAGGAGTGATGATTTGTAAGTGACACGCCATGCATAGCTAACGGCGATGTGGTCTATCCATGTTAAAGGTTGACTTGATTGCGGGGTGAGACATGTTGCCAAGCGGCCTCGGTTGCTTCGAAAGTTAGTACAGCCTAGAAACAGACGGTGGTCAGCAGAGAATTGTTTCAGGCGTTCGCAGTTCTCCTGCGTTCCGAGTCCAGTCCAAGATGACCACCCGCCAGTTGTCAACTTGCGCATTCACCACAACAGTATTCGAGCTATTGGCTCGCCGCGGTAAGTCGAGAGTAGTAGCACTGCATTCTTTCGGGACACAAACAGATACGAGAAACAGACGATGATTACCGGTGAGTTTATGAGATGCTCTCACAGAAGTCGCCAAATGAACGGCACAGAGGATACTATCAACGGGCAACCATTCAACCAGAGACCTTTTATCTCAGTGAATAAAAAAGCCATTCTAAACAGAAACAGCCACAGTTGATTCTGAATCACTAGACGTGGGTTACCGGAAGCGAGGGGTAACCGACGGGAAGGTCAGTTCAACAGCTGTACTTGGGTCTTGAATTCTTGCTTAAGACAAGTAACACACACAAATAGAAAGCAAATACAGCTATCTAAGAGCATTCTATTGTCCGGTTTGTTCCACATGGAGGTCATTAAAGTCTGAGAGTTGAGTTTTGAAGAATGATTTCAGGGTTTTTTCGGTCGTGGCGTATGAGTTAAGCGCAGACATTGCAGGCAGCAGCAACGGGTGTGGAACTGGTCTCCAGTTCCTTGGAATGGTCCTAAGGAGGTGTTACTGGAAACGGGGTGAGGAGGTAGAGGAGGACCAATCCGTAAAATAGAAAGGAGAGAGACCGAGCATAGTAAAAGCGCATGTCACTCAAAGGATATTCCCCGGTTGTAAGTTTAAATTACATGCGAGAAAGGAAGAAATAATGCAGCAATATCGCGTCACTCATAACCATACGCTCTGCCGTAAGCAGTTTTGGAAGTTTGTGAAACCTTATCGAAAATATCCAACTAGCTGGATCTTGTTCGGACTTATCAGACTGACGCACTCCCTAAATGTTCACACATTTTTATCCTACCTGAAGATCCTTCAGATCAGTTTACAACATGACTCATTTAAACTTTTACAGGATAATCCGGACGCATGAAGGGATGTGGACTAATCCAAAAAGCAGTAGGATTTTACTCGGTTTAATTTGGGGAGTTTCGTCCAGTTTGTCTAGCACCTGGATACTCGTGTGAATTTATCTCACGGACTTTCGTGGTAGAAGGTGAGTTTATCCTAATGTCTGCCTAGAAATTCAATGATCTCCTGTCAACTGATTATTGTTCTGTTTGGACAGCATCCAAATGTGTACTGAATCAGGTATCAGATAACAACCACCTACCAAGACTAAACTAAATATTTTGGGATTTCGCCGGGATTTCACCGTTTCGCGGTTTACGTGACCCTCTTGTTAATTCGAACCTATAATCTCCCCGCTAATGGTTGAAGACCAGACCTTTTGACAAAGGCGACCGACCAGTAGTGTGATTAACTCGCAATTAGACACGATGTGACACCACGCATCTTGCAGTCGTGCGGTTCATATCGCGTGGTCAAGTTTTAACTGGTTCCACGAGCGTTGGAAGTCTCATGCAACTTCCGAGATATTTTCTTTTCTGATCAAGCTATTTACTGTTTGATGACATTGTGCTGAAAGAGACCTTCAAGTCATCCAAATTTGGTATCCTTGCAGTCTACAGATGTAACGTAATCCACCAAGTTCACAGACTTATAAAACACTAGTGCGCCGAACCGGATAGTCAACGGTTTTACTCAGGATCTACGGTCAAACTCTTAAGTGAGCCGTCGACCGATGAACCCAACCGAACCACCAGTATTCCACAACATCATGATCATTTTGGTTGAGTAGTCGGAGCGGTTGAAACCAAAACACACAGTATGCCAGTTTTTCCATCGGGCTGAGGACTAAACTCACGAAACCAGTGAATCTGACGTTTGCGTGTGAATGCCTGGATAACCCAACCACAGTGGTGGTTCAAATTAGACACACGACAGCAGTCATTTGTAAGGACTGAAGCTTTACAATACACAGGACATACCCTGACAGGAGTGACCATCAGCGGAGAGTCTAAATCCAGCTTGGCATTCGCAGCGGTAGCTCCCAATCTCGTTGACACACACAACAGCTGGACCATAACAAGCTGCTTCTCCGGTCAAACATTCATCACGATCTGGCGAATTCGGGAGAATAGATGGTAATATTAGGGTAGAAAACACCGGCCTTAAACGCACATCTTTGTACATGAAAGTGAGTGTTGCGCATAGTCAGCTTACCTCGGCATGTGCGTCCGTCGGCTTGCAGATCATAGCCCGGGCGACAGGCGCATTCCGCACTATTGGAGTCTGTCCGGAGACAAATGTGCGTACATCCACCATTTCCGAACTGGCATGGATCTGTGACTTCCAGTAGAACACCTTTTATGACATAGTGATAAGGAGGGGGGTTGTGCTCAATTAGGTTGGTAGTATCATTGGATCGAACAGTGAAACAAAATCGTACGTAAATTAGTTGTCACGATGACACAGCAGATTGGCTAAATTCGGTTAGCTCAGTGTTTAACACTGAACCTCTTTTTCGACTGCCAGGGTGCAAATCTCCGTATGAGTACCTTATAGTAGACTGTTGGCTATCGCCTTCTACTTTGTTTACACGTGTTTTCCCATCAATAAGATGACGTGAATAGGAGCTTTTACTCCGGCAATTTGAAGTTTTATGTGATACTTTTTAACCGACTCCCGTGGTATAGAATTTCTTAGGGACGAGGATTGAACAATCCACAATCCACATGGTTGTCATCTTACCAGTCCTCTTCCCGTCCGGGTGCAATTCTTCTTCTGGTCGGTCTACACCAAGCAGAAGAATTGGAGTCGAGTACCGCTTTTCGTGGCAATGCGGGGATTTTAATTCCGGATGAGATTCTTGAGGGACGACCGCCAATTCACTGGCGGACGTTAAGCGCCCTCTATTATTCCATCTAAACAGCCAAACGCTTTCGCTCTCGAGAGCCTTGTTTTGTTTATCCAGGGCAGCAAGATAAGACCTTGCAGTTGGCTTCGAAGTAGCGATTGATTGATTCACAAGTCTGGACATCCAAGTTGGACTTCATCAAGGGCTTTTGGACGTCGGGCCAACGTGGGCATGTTCTCTTGCCCAGACGTTTTAGTTTGGGTGTCCATGTTACGGTGGTAACGACACGCTCGTCTCACATAAGATGGACGGCTTTCAAATATCGTTAGAACGGACAGAACGCCAATGCACGAAGCTTTCAGAAGCTCAAAATACGTGGCCCAAGATCGGTTACAAGTTCTTCCTAGGAGACGGATTTCTCTGAGTACGCTTCTGTTTCGCACAGGTCATTTAGAACCAGCTTTGTGTGGCTAGATTTGACAATGCCTACTCAACAGTTAAAGCGCCTGAATGGGCATTTTTCAGGTTCAGTTACTTTGATTTGCTTTCGGTTTTCTGGGCATAATCTACTGACCACCCTTGGTTTTCTTCTGACCGAGAGGTTGTTTTGTTCTATCACTAAAATTTGCTCAAGCCAGGTGTAATTAGTTGCGGTAATTTAGCTGAAAATGGTAATTCTATTTACTGAGGGCTCTCAAACGTCTCTAACTCAGCGCCACAAAGTTGTGTGACAAGCACCGCAAGTTTGTGAATCAAAATACTGAGATTTCATTTAAGTAAAATGTGAATTATTCTCTTGTAGATTTTCGGCTTTTGAGAGATTGTTGCTAAGATATATAGGCCAACTTGCTCCGTATTTTTTGCCGTCTGTGCTGCATATCATATAACTGAAAAGAGTAAAGCTGAAAAGGCGGTGTGTTTTGCTCTGTTTACTTTCTTTTTTCGACCTGTAGACGGATGAGTTAGGAAAAAAGGGTGGAAGCTGGATTCGCCAATCAGAGCAGTTATAGGGATTCTTCCTGTAACTGATCAGAACTCAACGAAATGGCAGTTGCCATACACGTAGTCAGGTTTTGAAACAATGGAACAGAAATAAAGACAATGGTTTCACCTGGGCGAAAACAATAAAACTTACGGTAACATGTTTTCCCATCATTGCCAAGCTGCCAGCCTGGATTGCATTCACAGCTGTAGGAGCCATCTACGTTTCGACATTGGTGCTGACAACCTCCATTGTCCTGACTGCATTCGTTGATGTCTGGGAGGTATTGGGAAAAAAAGTAGAAAGCAGAGGACTAAAGCACTCTTTTCTGGAAACACTGTCGCCGGGTTCATTTTCATCTTGAGGGGACTGAGGATTTTGTCAAATCACAGCGTACCTACCGTCATATGTGATACTAATGACGACGTGAACGCAATGGTTTTGGGCGTGATGGCCATCAAGTAGACTTGAAAAACATCCATTTCATAATAAAGGTGTTGTGAAATTTGAACCTCGATGGTGGTACCGGTTAACTAGTCAGCCTTGTGTCCTCGAAGGTCCGGGAATAGCTATTTTTCACACACAGGTGAGGTCGGACATTCAAAGCAATAACCCACCCACTAGTGAAGTCCTGTCCAAGATTACTAGACAATGGATGTTAGGCTGTCATCTCACCTAACGGGCACAAAAACTGGAGTTTCAAAATACACAGGAGTTAACGAACATGAGGACTGGATAACTTCTTTCCAGGTCGCACAAAAATGCGAAGGTGAAAACAGTGATATATGTGAATAAACACCAGAGTTCAGCGAAATAAGCCACAAGAAAACGATATCTGTCTGCACGGAATCAAACGGCTGAGCGCACATCACCAACTGCATGACCTGGCGATTTAGACAAGGTAAGAACAGCAATGGTCAGTGTTTTGGGGTGAAGAGTGAACGTGAGGGTGAGTCGGGCAGTGGGAGCTGAAGTATGGCTGCACAGTGCTTCTGACAGCACATGATAGGGCTGTAGTGTGCTTGGAATTTTATAGTTCTACCAACATTAGTATGACTTGAGGAGGAACTATCGGAACCATAGGTTTATCAACTTTTGTGACCAACTGGGAATTTCTGGTATCCAAATTGCTCTCGAAAGACTTAGTGTACTCTCACCATTTACTGTGATTTGTAAGAAAGATGGAAGTGCATTGGCATGGGACTGAGGATATGGAGGACTCTGATGAAGATGACCGGAACTGATAAGTTTTGGAGGTGGATGTTTTGCTGCTTTTAAATAAGACAAATCAGCTGATCGTGATGCGCTTCCTCAAAGGGAGACCAACAAGCCCGTGTGCAGTTTTACGCATCTATCACTGTGCTAAAATGTTTCTCGGAAGGTGTTTTTGATAGCGAAATATACACAGGCGTTTGGTGGATCAATCGACATGCTTGGCTGCTGGAACTAGGAAAAATTTGGTCGAAATGAACGCAAAATTATTGATCAGTAGTAGATTTCGGTAAAGGCAACCCCAACGGAAGTGTACTTCCAAACACGGCGGAACGGAACATAATCACCATAATTTCTTTCGGAACGCATGGTTGAGTCCATGAAGATGATGGGACTCATGAGGATCGAGGACCATTTAAATAAAAAGTCTGACTACTTATCACTAGTTGGAGTTCGGTTGGATACAGAATCACAGCTTCTTGCAGTTTTCCTCCCAGGGTTACTGGGTTGTACGCTGTACACTCTGTGAACATACTTGCTTGTAACATGACGCTTCTGGTCGCCAAGGCTTTGAACTGTAGCAGTGTTTCTTAACACCACTCAAGGTCACTTAAGGTCAACCTCCTTGACTTATTTTTACGTACCAATTATTTCTATGTAAACCATCTATTCTGTATTACGGTAGTTCATGATTTGCGTTCGACTGATTTCATCGTGGATACATAGGTACCTCAGCCACAATGAAATCATTTTCGCTGAATATCCAGCAACTGAGTTGAATGTCCCAATCCATATTCTTTTCTTTGTGTGAATACCATTCAGTGGAACGCAATATATGAGTACTCTTCCAATCCGACAAGTGTTTGCTATATTGTGATACCGTATTGATAAAGTATATTAGTGAATGCCAGCTGAGCCGCAGCGCTCGTTGCTTTTATTGATTGGTTCATCTTCAATACAGCCGATCTTCATCCGGTGTCCGTTATCTTCTTCGAGGAGAGATGGCTCAGTGGTTAGAGCGCAAATTTACCGACCGGAAGGTCTGTGGTTTGAACTTGACCTATGCATCGCGACTTCCCCTGTCTAGGCTTGGGCAGCCTGGCAGTATCTCAGCTCTCGTGCTTCCTTCTGGTGGCATGGAAGTTGGGAATCGAAAGAGTGCTACAAATGAACGAATTTCTCTGAGTCCATTTCGGAGACAAAAAACAGATCCGGGATGGGATTCCTATTGCTGCTAGCTATAGACGGAACACTGTGATCTTGCCGGGTTTCACTTGTGACCACACGTTATAGAGTGTCTGTTACCACCTCTACTCTACGCAGTTTAGGGGGAAACTCTGATTTGTTTGATGAATGCTTTTTACCGTACGCCATACAGGCTTGATATAAATGAGATAAATGTATTGAAAGCTGTACTAACCTGTACATTTCCGTGGATCTTGAGGAGACACTTGGTATCCTTCGTGGCAGCTGCAATGAGGCTCACCGTTTACCACACGACAGTCATGTTGACATCCACCGTTATTTTCTTGACAAGGGTCATGAGCTGGATAGAAATGGGAGAAAATCAGAACGATAGTCTCTACAAAATGGGTTTGGTTGACCTCTCTGTTTTAGAGCTTATTGGAGTTTAACTTGCAGTAGCTATCAAGTTTTTGTCCTGTAATTGAAGTCAATCTATACCAAAACGCTGAGGAGCACATCACAGCCTTTTTATTCTTTTTGGAGATGATTAACAATGCAAGCCTAACGAGTCTCCAGGGTGAGTTCAAATCGCAATCTCACCGTTAGTAACTGAAGACCAAGCCACTGGGCCACGGGCGGCTGAACACGAGTGCGATTAACTCGCACTTAGTTCGATCTGGTTGGTCATTAGTAGTGCGAGTTATGTCAGTGGTTGTCTCATGCTTACCCTACTATCCGTGAATAGACCAAATCTCCGTGCGGCGGTTTTATTCGTGTTGCGAAGTGTCAGTATCTTATCTACCTTAATGTGGAGTGGAGCACAGCCGTGGGTGGTTAAATATCTTTTGATCACTTACATGTTTTACGTGTAATTTGTGGTAGAGAGCTCCTAGAGTTACAACTTTTCCTATTCACCTCCAACGAAAAAGACCATATTTAACCAGCAGTCTATCAGACGGAGTTTTCATCTGAAGGCGACAAATCCAAGCATGGAAGGACTTGCCTCAGAGTATAGCTACCCAGTCACCCACATACTTGACTGTTCAGCTCACAGTCGCTCACTGGATCACGAGACTTGCCTTTTTTCATACTCAAATCACGTCACATTAAGCTGACACATCCGACACCGATGCGGAGAAAACACGTTCCCGCCGTCCGGACTTTCATCAAGGGACTCTCATATAAGATAAGTCCCCTTTTGACTTGCTCAACATCTTATATTGCCTTTATTTTATACATGCTTCAAATCGCCTCTGTAAATTACCACAGTAAAGACTGTTATCAGTGCATATACCTCCTGAATTGGCCATAATCGACAATGCACTAATAAGAGCGCTTCCACTTTTTTCGGCCTGCTCTAACTTTGCTTGACACTATAGAGCCACAAGTGACACCAAACAGAACGCAATAGCACTGTCCTTATTCGTAGGTTACTTTGATCCGAGCAAGGGGGTTCTGCCCCAATGTAAAACTTCAGTCAACTTGATGAGAGTTTCTCTTCAGCTGAGCTTCATTTAGACCGGCAGTACAGCGATCGGTGGAAGCGCGTGAAATTACCAGCAAAGTCTAAAGCACTTAAACTAAGGCCGAAAAGTGAGGTCTAAGAGGAAGTCTTTTGTACGAGCAATGAGAAACACTTTTGGCTGTTCAGGAGTCTGGGAGTTGCTACCTAATGTCACAAGTGAGACAATTAATCCTAATCCCTCAAAATGTGGAACACATCGTTTAAGAGTTGGAACCAGCTTGGAGGGTGTTTACGATAAAGCTGACCTTGAAAAATGTATACAGGATCAGCCGACCAATGCAAGCTATGTCCCAGGTTGCGTATCACAGGTTGATAGTTTGCGCGAATGTCACATCCTGTCGTACGTAGTGGTGTGCGCGCAGTATACAGCACTGCGCGTTTAATCTTAGTTTGTTGATTTGTGTGTGGTTGGAGCTTTGTGTCTAATCATTTCTCAAATATACCCCTCGTGGTTTCAATAGGACCAATCCGTTGATTCCTATCGGCCGGATGTGCGGCACCTGCGGTAGTGAAGTCACGCTCCGAAGCTCCGGTTCCAACTCTGAATGGTGTGCGATCAGATCGCAACTGTGCGTCTGCATGCCGGATTAACACGTGACTCTTACGACTGCCGTTCAGTTGCTGACTCTTAAGTAACTGATTCCTCTCTTTCTGACCCGGATATTACGTCATACGGTTGTATTACCACTTCACCTTCCTATGCTGCTTTCGCGATGCCTATTCATGATTACAGAAAGAATGACTAACAGTGACGAATGTTTTTTTATGATGATGAAAGAGGACGAATCCACCTGTTGTGTGAGAGAAAACAGCGGAAGTCTGCCTGTTCTAATGTGGTATATCTTTCGAGGCCCCCGAACGACAAGTTATCATTAAAACCATTTAAAATCTACTCAGTTCGCGTTTTGAAAGTGTTGAGACGTAGAGGCTCATGAGAGGCGGACGCCGAGGAGAATAGATCCAACTGATAATTCTTTAAGTACAAACGCTGTCAAGTTAGCAATTTTGATACATTTCATCAGGTTTTTAAAAGAAACGCCACGAGACAAGAAATATTTATGATATTTTCATGAATTCCGGCTTACGTAAACACCGTTTCTTGTCATCCGCCAGTCTGTATCCAGGTCTGCAAGAACACACGTAACGATAGCCTGGTAATGTAGTGCAAACGTGTTCACAATCTCCGTTGGGCGGATGTTTGCAAGGATCAAAGTCTGAAGAAAATAAACGGGCGAATTTCGAATCACATAGTGACAACACCCACTAATTAAAACGACAAAAGCGGACGATTTGTCGAAACTAAGGAGAGTTTGTCTGCTAGAAATTAAGCACTGAAGAGTGACTGATATGCAAAATGCACAGGAATTCGTTCCACGACCAACCTACTCAAATTTTCACACCAGCTTTGCGCCTTTCCATATTAAGCCTGATCCCCTTGTTTGGTTCCTGTCTACCAGTTCGTCGTGGCCTTTCCCCTTAGTATACTATCATTTTGAAACTTTTGTATACTGTCACCCAGTCAGCAACCTTTGATTACACAGATCCATTACCCTAATATTTTATAGTATAAATTCCACGTCGTTGCAGTTTTTCGGCTTGCTGATCATTGTCATGTTGTTCATTTGGGTCCAAACCAACCCTCTGTGTCGAATGCAGTCAATGACTCCCATTGGGGGGCACTTTAGGTACGGTATTCTTGATTGACAAGCTGTCGCTCATGTCCCGTCACAAGACTCGGAAACCTGATTGTCAAAGGTACTGATTATTTCCCCCAATGAACTTACTGGCAAAGAGAGACTGGCAGGGACCCTCCTCAAACCTGTGACTGAAGTTGCGTCCGGTTCCACCAAACTCAATGAGCGAACCTTGGACGTGACTAAAAAAATCGAACGTTAATCCTACTCTGTTTTTTCTGGCTCGTTTTCAGTGGGCGGTACAAACTACCGATAGCCTCCTACATCGTTTTGGGGTTTAAAAACAAAGTTAAGATAATTTATTTCCCGCCACTGATTCACGGATGCTCGAAAGACCAATCTGAACAACTCACAAGGCCGCTGAAAACTTTGACAGCCCACAAGCACTTTCGCCCACCTTGGGGCCCACCAGCCCCGTCACATCGGGTCCCTGCTTGAACCCAAATTGGACTGATTTTGATAAACACACTCATCTGCATATCAATCTGGTTTTTACAGGAGACTTAATGGAATCTCTCGTTTATGGTATTTCTTAGCTGAATGTACTGCACAAAGACCGATACGATATTTGGGAAAGTGCCCACCTGATGAGTCCCGAAAAGGGGAAAACCAGTTTTGAGCTGTGGAAGAGTTTCCAGCAACCTTGAGAGTAGTTTTCTTCATGAAGATATACGACGATATATCGAATATCCTACCAACTGAAACATGAGACCGCCACTGTGCAGCACATTCAGTTAAAGAATATCATAAAAGAGAGATTCATTTGAGTCTTCTGTAAAAACCAAATCGATGGGCAAATGAGTGTATTTATGGTAGTCTGAACGATTTGAAATTATTCCACCAGGTTATAAAAGGGAACTCCGTCAAGGGTGTCATCTGAGGCGGCCTTGTACTGCAGACGCATGTGTACGTCAACTCCTTGATATGCATGAACTTTCCGACTATGCTTCGCAAACTTCGCCGCTGACACTGCGTTTATTCAAGTTACAAAATGGCTAAGAAAACTCAGCAGTTCAGCGGAAAACCCTCTTGAAAGAACTGGTGTGCGTAAGTAGATAAATGAGGACGGGGGCACCATGAGAAATCACCAACGACACTGATGAATAGGCTCATTAAGCAAGACCAAACCGAAAATGATTCATGTGAAAAAAAATCGGGCTACGCAAGTGACTGACATTTAATTCTTTGATGAAGCCTGATAAACTGAATTCAAAACAACAGGCAATTCTCTACCGGCACTGGATCGATTAACCGCATTCAGGACCAATTGATATCTATCGTCGAAGTTTGGCCGCATCAACAGCACCTGGGTGTTTGGTAGTGCGATTTATGTCACCAGGTTTTAGAGTGCCGTGGAAGAGATGGCGTTTAATACTATACTGATAACGAGCCCGTGGAGCAGATTCTTCGGTGGGTTTATTGATAGTGAGGTAACTTCATACATACGCAGGTTCACAGGATCAGAACTAGGATTACTGTCATTCTCGTTCGCATCAAAGTAACGGCAAATGGTTTATTTAGATCGCACTGCAACAAACAAGAAGGCTAGCAGCTCAGGATGCCTTAAAACTTGGCCAACTTGGCAATATTCTCGATTGGTTTGACGAAGATTTGTGTCAAGGGCAAAACGTCGCCCGGGCTACAAAACCATGGATTCTTTACCACTTGAGAATGCCTATCCTTTCTACTACGAAATGCTCTATTTACTGAATCCATAGGCACTTACATGGTACACAGGATATTTTGTCCGCTGCAAGCATCATATCGGAAGGACAGGCACAGCGGTATCCACCGGGTAGATTTTCACAAAAATACATGCACCCGCCACGGTTGTACTTGCATTCATCAATATCTGAGTGGATAACGAAAAAGCAGACATGATTTGTTTTGCATCGGTTCCTCAGGTTTAAAAAAGACCCGATTAATGACAGATACATGGATCAAAGAACGATTGATAAGGTGTAGGCAGGCAGTGTAGGTAATTTGAATACTTTGCCCTGATAATCACTGGGATTTAGGATGATAGTTCCAGCTTTGCTGTCGTCTGTCTTGAGTCGACATACTACATTGCACATTCTTAAGGGTTTTTGTGTCTGGCCTAAGGAAGACAAATGAAGGGGATGGCCATGTCTGCTGATCAAATCCAGTTTCCAGTAGATTTTCATGGCTTAGCCAAACGCAGCCAACAACGCATCAGAAGACGGTGGAAATTAAAAAAAATGAGTGCAGAGTTCACCTTTTAAAGTATTCTACTGGTCCGTTAGTGCAGAAAAGAATCTTCGGTATCACCTCTCTTCAAAACAGTTAGCACTGTGATCAAAGGGACGTAGAAAACAAGTGAAGTACGCCAGGCCTACGTTATTTCTCCACAGCTCCCGAAAAATCGGCGTCTAAAACTTATTCAAGCTGAAATGTATGCCAGTCAAATAATATTCACCATCCAACCCCTGATAAGGCAGACCGATCAATTTATTTGCATTTTGGTTGGTGTTATGAAGGAATGTAACTCTTTTTTCAGCACACGGACGGTTTGAAACGGGTGTTCAGTTGTAATACGTTGATACGTTAACTGAAAGGACCGGTTAACTGAAAGGCATACTTTTGAGTAAATCAGCAACTCAGAAGTTGAATTTCTATCTCCACGTCTTACAAGAATAAATTACGAAATGAGCTGAGAAAGCTTGATGATGGAGAGATTATGCTGGGAGAGCAAAGGGTAGATGAACTTTCTGAACGGATAGAAGCCAAGCTAAGCGTTGTTCATACATGGTCCTCTAACTTATTCAGTCAAAAACCTAGCGCACCTAGCGCACTAACATCGTAACTACAACAAAAATATATCTAGAAGCAGTATAACGGTGGGCGGCACTTAGATATCACTGAAAAATGTTCTGAGTCAATACTTTTAACAGCTTCTTCTAGCTTGGTCAGCATTGTGTCGATGAACGCTAACAATCGGACTATATGGTTGCCTAATCCAAATGAGAATATCCTTCTGGGACCAAATGAGTGAGATATTGTCACCCTGAGCTGGATTATGACCATCAACTTGGTGAGTTCGGTTTCATTGCACACTTCTGGTACTACTGAATATACTCAGACATCCTCTGGAAGAGACGCTGTCATGTTCAGTGTATGTTAGTTCCACAAGACATGCAGGTGTTGATATGGGTAGAAAAATGATCAGGTCCTCATATTCGACTGTTTTTTTTTGTTATTTTTAGGCGTCATATACAAAGTATCCAGTATTCTTCGTATCTAAATTTGTATATTCCGCACAGTCCATAGTGAAAACAGAATGAATTTTGTAGAGCTTGCCAGCCGTGCCCTCGTACGGTGACATTTAGGAGAAAAAATGAAGAAAAGACAAAAATATGGGCTCAAAAAGAATGGATAATCAATTCAACGCCCGTGCGGGCCAACTAGATAGACCACTTGGTGGTACGTGGATTGCCTGAGTCTCTAATTACGGCTGACTAATAAATTAAAGGAATGGAGTTTGGCTGTTTGGTGAGTACTTGCATCCAATCGATAGGTTATCGACCAGGAAAACCTAGGAAGATCCAGTTCTTAAGATCTTGGTAAATCAGGAAGCCTTCCATGCATGCGTCATAAAACCAGTACGGAGTGAATTTTATCGAAAAATATTCTCCAAAAACACAGACAGAGCACGTACCAAGACATCGGCGTCTATCTGGAGCTAAGAAGTATCCGGCTGGGCAGCGGCAGTAGCTTGACTTGGGATTTAAGGCACAGTCCTTTTGGCAGTCACCGGTTCCGGAAGCACAGTCGTCGATTTCTTTTATGAGTAAAAATAGTAAAGTAGAGATTAATGGAATAGTTTAAAATTTGACTGAATCTTTCAAACAATTCTTGTGCACTTTTAGGAGCTTGGACAGTGAGAAGCATAGTAATGAACCCTCGCCCTCTACTAGCAGACTCAGAGGTTATTGGGTGTAGGTTTTTTCTAATCTGACTGACTACTAGTGAGTAATCAGGCTTTTCGTTTTGAATCATAGTAATGGACTGTCGACTACTGTTCATAATCACGAAGTTGTGGCATTAGAAGTCGACTAAAATGCATTCTCCTCGGAGTATATGTCAATAAAGCTCATTTCAGAAACCAATGGATCGCTCAACATTGAATTCTCTTAAGCTTCACGTCTCCTTGTCCCAGTGGATGATGTACATTCTCTTGTTTAAAAATTCGTGTGCTTGATGCATGCTGAAGTTGGTGTTCCAGTGTGGAGATCTAATCAGAACTGACAAACTTGCGGTACCACAGATTTTTACCACCCAGTTAGTTCATGTCAAAGCAAGTATACTGGGGTGACCCTTCAGATAATTCCCAACCGAATCGGAGAAATGCATCAGCAATTTCAGCATTTTTGCGTAAAGTGCAGTTGAAAATTACGATGATTTAAACGGATCTACAAAAGCGCTTCGGCCCAGCCGCTTCGCAGTTTTGATCTTTGTCTCATCAAAAATCACGTCTGTTGTTAGTCAGGTCATGGTGAACCTTGATTTAATCAGTGGCATTCCAGAAGTATCTTTTTGAGTCAAAGGGCTCTTCAGTGAGCTCACCATAAGCGCTGTTATGTTTTGAGGTGAGCTAAACGCCATACAGCTTAAATAACGCACTTCCAGTTTCCAGAAGTAAGCACCATGCTTTTCAGTCTGATCGGGATTCATCAGACAGTTGACCCAGTACGAACCGCGTGGAGGCTCTTTTCAACAGTTTTTCGCCACCGAACACAAACTCCGGCATTAGGTCTACCTACGAGCGGTTTCTGAGTGCAGTTCAGCTAAGGAATTTATTGCTTCCTCTGAAGCGTTCGCGAACGCATCCATAATAACTTGCATACCAACGCCAGAGAAGTGGTCCTAGGAGTCCACATGGTAAATTAACAATCGTACTCAAGCTGGCGCTCACAGATAATCAATAGTCGGTTTTATGCGCCGACCTTCAGGAATGCACACCTCTGAAACGCACATAGTCCGATATAGAGAGATGACTGTGGTTTGTATGTGTGGGTGTTTATATGGATTCAACAGCACATATCCGAAATTGAGCAAATACGCACACTTACGAATTTGGCAATGGACCCCAGTGAAACCAGCCGGGCAACTGCATCTTACCACACCGTTGTTCTCGTAACAGAGGCCACCGTTTTTGCAACTGAATGCGGACTGCACAAATTGACTACAGTTCGACTCTGTACAATGAAAAATCGTAACGTGAGTGGAGGAGTTAGCGAAACAAAAAGATGACAGTGAGTAGTAGACTTGTCGCAGAAGCCCACAACGTGAATATTTCGAGGATAAACTACTCCAGTGTATTATAGGGTTCTGATGCGAATTACATTTTTCTGAAAACATTTCTTTTATCAATTTGTGGCTCTAGGTCGAGAAGATTGCTTGAAACAATCTCTCTCAGGAAATATTGGTCAATTTGGCCATCTGAAAATGTAGACGACTTTATAAAGTTTTCACACGACCAAGTTATTTTTTGGAGTTGAAAGCTTTCAGAAGACATGAAAACGTTTGGAGACGGGACACAGCACACTAAAATAAGATGTCACAACCCCGTGTTTCGGTTGCCATGGGTAAACGTTTTCAAGGATATTAACAATCATGTTTGACCTGGAAGTCTCAAATTATGGACTCTTAAGTGACACCCAGACCAAAGCATTCTGCCGGTAAGAGACCTATGAGAAGATGAACCTGACGCGTGAAGAAGCTCTGAATTAGGGCTGAATTTACATTCTTTATTGCTATTTGGTATCTTCAAAATCATCACATTTCGTGCGAAATAACCCAACCAAGTTTGTGAACGCCTTCTTTGCGTAAGCACAACAGACCACTTGGACGGCTGCTATAAAAGTACAACACTACAAACAACTCGTTTCAAAGAATCATTTTTGGACCGAGAAATGACTTTTCATTTCCAACTCTCTCTAGAAATTGAGCATTCAGTAGCACGCAGTAATAATGTTTGCCATTGGTCAAGGTACATACATCGAAAGTCATTTTTAAGGAGAGTTTCAGTGACAGTCCGTTGACTTCAAATCAGTTATCACTAAAACCTCGGCAATGAAGTAACGAACAGGCCACAGAACGCCAGTGGCAGGTACCGGCGTGACGGAATATATTGCTGATATGCGTCGTGAGTAGTACCGTCTTCATACTGCGCTGGCTGTACCTGAGTTTATTTGTTTGTAAAAAATACAAACTGTCGTCACTGCCTGGATTATAAGCGGCCTTCAGGGTAAGTTGAGTAACAAGTCTGCCTGCATTGTTCTTCCACAGGTGCATTTAAATGGACACTTTTCAGCTTCGTTAAGTCTGTTGCACCAACTTCATGTGCATCTGGCAAGTGGCAGATCGGCTGATTTCTCTGAACATCAGCATTTGTCATACGGTTTGTTCCTCGGCAGTTTGAATTCACACAAGCTCGAAGACCACCTACCCCAGATGACAAGGCCGAAAAATCAACCAGTCATTAACACTCCTAGTTGAATTCTTACTTCACTGAATCACATTCCCTTGAGGTATTAGCTCTGTTACAAACGCCGTTGTTCAGTACCCACCCAAGTTGACAAAATGTGAAGTTTCCGTCCCACCTGCCTGCCACAAAGTTGATCTCATTACGCTCACATCTGCTCTTCTTTCGATTCCTCCACCATTAAGTTCACGGACGCGAGCATTGCTCATCAGACCCGACACCCAAGCTCGTTTATTCGTTTATCTGTTTTGGTTTTTGGTAGTGGGTGACTTTGGAAAAAACCATAAAAGTGTGGGTTTTTTGCTGTGTCCTATTGTCCTCCCCACAAGAGTGGGAACTCTGCACACCCGAATTCGAGAGAAACAAGTTTAGAGCAAATTTAATTTACAGGATCGAACATTTAAATTAGATTGGCGTGCAGGTGAATGAACAGACACAGTGAATGGCCTAGGCTAATTGATGAACGGCTTCGCAACGGAGGGAATACTGATGGTACAGGGTATGCTCCGGTGCGAGAATTGAGGATTTTCTCCACTTGCTTCAGCGCATTTACTGAAATATGGGACCTTGTCTTGGGTTTCTGTCTTCTCCCAGAAGAAATTGAAGCCTGATTAACTCACCAACAAATTGCAGCTCTTCGTCAATGTGTTCTGAAAATTTCTTGAACCATTTGGTGAGGGCGAAAATTCCTGCTTTTGGATCTCCAGGGCTCATTTCACGCCAAATTATAAGAGAAATTAGCCTCATTAAGCTAGGTGAATAAATTTTCTCCAGTTTGATTGGTCAGTTAGATTAAGTCTTTAAAAAGTTTACTAAGGCCATGAGTAATGTGTGTGACCATAGGTACGCCCATGCTGTAAAATGAAAGAGCTTCAGACCAGATGTAGGAACATGCGTGTGGTACATGGATCGAAGGACATAGGTAAGCGCTTGAACGTAAAGCAAGAGAGTTCTCAATAGCTTAAGCGCGATGGCTGGTTTGTCCCACTACCTGGATTTGTCTATCCAGAATCAGGGGTTGTGAAGCAAGATAAAGACAAACGTGGCGTTTCTTGTAAGCTTGTCCCACTACCTGGATTTGTCTATCCAGAATCAGGGGTTGTGAAGCAAGATAAAGACAAACGTGGCGTTTCTTGTAAGCCACGTATCACAATAAACTACTGAACAGGGCTACCCAAGTAACCTTTTTGCTGGCTGATGTTAAAATTGAGCAAACACGGTTTGCTGTGACTGTTCACCGGGAAGCTTCACCAAACTAGAATATGTCGGAGGCAAACCAACATGTATTGCCACTTTCCTCAGAAAAACAGATGCCGTGCAAGTAGATCTGGGCTTTGTCCTTTACAAATTAAATAGCCTTCAGAAAGTCCTGTGTGTGAGCCGTATGCGACAATAGTCAGTCATTCTGCGGTCCCTCTCAGACACATTTTTCTTTGCTAAGTGTTTGACTGTTACCTATTCAGTAGTCCTAACATTATTAGAGTATCAACAGTATTTCAGTTGTAAACTGTGTCATATTCAATAAAATAAGCAGGACTGACGTGTGGAACACTCCAAGCGGCAAGCTTGGCACAATACTGGTTTACGAAAACGTAGAGTGAGGTGGTTGAATGGTTGCAGGTAGGTACACAACGGTGAGATTTCCGTTCAGTAGGTTATGTCGCAGCCGCTGTTGCAAATAAAGTGGTAAGTGCATTTTTTAGTTGACTAACTTGCGATCCTATCCTACCACATCCCAGCACCACTCAAAACAGGGTCATCAAAACTTTCCAGAAAGATAGTCTTGAAAAATGCACTACAGAAGACAATGTGATGCCTTATTGGGATATTCGCGACACTATTACCAGCAAAATGGTCAACAAAGAAATCGAATTTTGATCTGATGCATTGAAAATCAACCGAAAAATGTCGGAAATTGCTTACTTGGAACACAGCCTTCTATTCCAGATTGTTGGATGAATCCTGGACAACATCGGTATTGATCTTTATCAGGAATCTTGACTGTTGTCTTGTAGTGAGTGACGTAATGTGTCCTTTAAGTGGGGATCATAGATTAGTAGCAAATAAAAGTGAATTTGTTGTTGCTAATCAATGAAGTCAGAAATTGGGCAGTCTCTAACTGATTACATCTAGTTATTTTCTTCAAGGCAAATTGCACTGAACAATCAAGGAACGAGATTCTTTGCTAGGACTTTATCAGCAGGTCAGTAGATGTGATTTTTGGCGAAGCACATTGTGAGATCCTAGCTAAAGAAGGGAATTACTTTAATCTCAAAAAAATCTCCGCTGCTACTTTCACCTGAACGTGTTACGCAGAGGTAGCTCCACGATTTATTTGACACGATCTTCTTGAGACCACTATATATTTTTTGACGGAAAGTAAACATCTAAGGCTACTAGAAACTCTTCAGCAGTAAACGATCAATTTCGGCCCCTTACGGAGCCATCAGGTAGATATCGTCTTTGATCTTTCGTCGACTGTTTGGTCTACACAAAAATCTAACTGTTCTATGCTGGCGTGCCCCACTTATCTGCAAACGAACTCAACGGAATCCAAGTTAAGTCTGTCGCTCATGATAATCTTCAGCTGAATGTGTTCCACAAAGGTCGTCCCACGTCTAATTTGGTGCGATATTCGTAATGCAGAAGTATATTTTCTTTAACTAACACTGTTTATAGTGCTTATGGCAAGTTCTGGGCAACCCACTACGCGTTCGGACTATGTTAAGAATCCTCAGTTAGTCCTAGTCACCTAGTTTCTGTGGGTCATATTGCTTACACAGACACCATACTTGCTCCCACTCTCTCTTTTCAGAAAATTGAACTAAGGCCACCGTCAAACGAGTCACAAAAGAACATGACTGACCACTTTGGGCCTTCTATTAGCGTGAATTCACTTGTCTGGAAAACTCTTGAGAAAGGCTGCTCGTGGTAGCCAAAATGTTTGCACCTTTAGATCATTATGATTTAGGAACATTCTAACTGGATAAAAACTCTTCCACGGGCAGGTTTTTTTTATGGCTACTCACATGATTCAATCCAGTTTTTCTACCTACGCTACCAAAGAAACATCTGTCAGTCGTTGCTAATTCCGCAGTAATGATGATGAACCTCTCTTAGGCGTAAAACAATTCATTTTATATGCAGCGCTCTCAGAAAGATTTTTACTATTCGGGTCAAATTATTCTTTCAGCGTGTCAAGTGTAATCGTTTTTCAAGTTTTTTTAAACTTATGAGCGTCACTCTATTTAGCGAACACGTCTTCTTTATGCAGGCTTTGCTGACCGGTCACACTGGTGCAATAGCATAGTGCCGGAGGGTCGAAAACCGATGCCACATACAAGCAGAAGGTGTCATGGGCTCATACTGGAGGTGTCCACATCGGAAGCTCAATTTTCTTGCTCACTGAGTCAGTGCCTCCGGATCCGGGAACCAGATATCTGTTTCGACAGTTCGGCCTCCATCTTACGGACTGTGCACATATGTTTCCCCGATAACAGGGTATATAACAACGAATCTCCCGAAGATCCAAATAAGAGCAGTCATGGAGACAAGCTGCACATTTTTTCTACCTGGAAGAACGTGTTTACAACATTGTGACATATTTTGGGAACCATACAGCGCGCTGATGAACGATGAGTCCGCCGTAGATTCATGGCCCTTTACTTTTGTGATTACGACACGTTTAGTCCCAACGGTTGCTTGAATCATAGAGAACATAGGGCCGTGCAACTGAAACATTTCGGTCCTTCCAGAAATGACATTCGTGCAAGCTACGTCTCCATGACGACTTGTGAGGAACCAGAAATTTCATATGTGCTTAAAGAACGACTATAAATATTCGTTTTCATTACTGAGATTCCTAACAAACTTTCTGGACATATTTTGAAATGGAACGTTGCTTTCAAGCAGAATGAAAAAGTAAACCTGTACACTTTGTTATATGTATCCCGAAGTTCCAGCGACTGAAATACAGAGAGTAGCTCCACATGCATAGCAACGTGATTCATGCAAGCAATTTTCCTGTGGTATGCCTGAATGTGTTTTTGATTGGTATAAGGCACGTGAATTCAGTGGTAATGTATTAGATAAAATAAAAGGGAAAGACCGTGCTGAATAAAAATCAACATGGGTACGTGTGGGATAATTTGACATTTCATGCAGATTTTGTCTTTGTATCTTTTCAAAGCAGGTTTTCATGTCGGACTTTCTGGATTCGTAAGAGTGCCTGCGTCTTCTTTATGATACAACCGGGTGTGTGTGCGTTTAGGTGGCGGTAGTGATGCCGTTAATCATCTCAGAAGACGGGACAAAATTCAGGCTTCAGCAACAACTTTTTGTGTTTAGTATTCCGATTAAAACGCCTCACCCAAAAAAATGGATCTATTTTTATCCTTCTTTTTTTGCTGGTAGATCGAAATATCAAAACCTTTCGGTATACTCATTTGCCTGCTGCTACACAGCGGAGCACTTTGGCTGCACCGCGAGGCAATTCAACCAAAGAATGAGGGATCATAACCAACCCTGGTTGTTTTCTGGAATCATAGGATCGATAACCAGTTCAGTTGTGCAGTATCTAGCAACCATAGTGCATATCAAGATGCCAGATCGAACTTACAAGGTGCCTACTATTCATCTCAGAGCGGTACAGCACCGCGCAATCGTGGTGGCAAAGGCTATCCTCCTACGACATCCCGACTCGGTTCTTTGTTGAAACGCTTTGTTTACCCGCTGGACTTACCGTAGTCCACCTCACCTCCCCACTCTCTACATACATCCGGTGCTGAACACAGCGGATGTGTTGCATTGAACGCAACACACTCGGCACTGGCCGCCTTGGGTAACCCTGAATGTGATCTAAAATAGTTGTTTTTGACAGTTGGCCAACGTCGTTGCCCAGTCTATTTGCTCTGTAATGTCCACTGAGCTTAGCTGATTGTGTTGTATGATACTGTCTTAGCACTCTCCACTATATAGCATGAAAGGCATTACTGGAGCCGTGTTCGTCAACCATCATACTTTATGTGTAACCTGAGGTGGACCCGTAATACCCATCACGCCCAAGCTCAGATTGGTCATAGGGATATTTACTCGAAAAAGGACATCTGAAAAATTCACCCTAATAAATACTGTTGCGAGAAGACAAATGTCGGGAACTACCAAGACTTCCGGTTTTCCGAAACATAGCGAGGATGACCTTCGATGCACACAAATAAACGATTCGAACGAAAATGACATGGAGTGATCTGTTTCTACATGATCATCTGTGACGTTTGCTGCTGCAGTGTCTGAATTCTTTGGATCTACTCGACTAGCTTCAACAGGAAATCGCGGAGTGGGGTTCGAATCCAAAGTGGGCTCCTCAAAGTAGCTCTTGATTTCTGCATTGAAATGGTGCGCACATGCTGTTTTACCAGTAATGACTTGGGGCAAGATGGCTTAGTGGATAGGGCGAGAATTTACTGACCGGAAGTCCGTAGTCCGAACCCGACCCCTGTCGCTCTACTTCTCCTGTCTAGGCTTGGGTGACCATGCAGTATCCCAGCTCTCGTGTTTTCTTCGGGTCGCATGGCAGTTAGGCACCAAAAGGGTGCTACAGCTGAACAAGTAACGGCCTAAAGACAATTTTGTACTTTTGTATGTGCATCCTTTTAATCCATCGCGCAACAGCAACGTGATGTGTCACAGCACCCAGCTGGTGAAGACCTTTATTCTGTAACAAGAGTTACACGACTTTGTCTCGGGTTCAACAGTCTTCGGTGAGTAAGAGCTTGTGGATTGTGCAAAGAGGTAAGGCAGAGAAACAAGGAAACAACGGCCATTTTAAATAGGCAGAAAAAATGAACCTTGTGGTTTTAGTTCTTTTCACTTGCAGACGGTGAGACAAGGAGGCAATTTACAAAGAGTGTGCCTGAAATAGTTCTTTAGTTTTCTTGATTAGGTTAATCAGAGGCTCCATGAGGAATTCGTTGTTTGTTGTAGCTTAAAGCAATAAATGTTATTCTTGACAAATGCCACACTAAAGATTTGTGCTTCTACCCAGATTTTCTGACAGCTTGTCAAAAACGGAATAGTTAGAACGAAGTTACAAAAACGTTTCGGGACGGCCTCCACGCTTTAAATTATACTGAAGGGTATTTGCGTAGATTCTGACATAATGATCCCCTCAAGGAAGAATCTATGGGGTGGACGAAAATCTTCCTTTCTTGGCGAGGTATCTGGCTAGAATGTGACCGATGTTATTTGCGAACTGAGGAGGGCTCTAGAGATTTGGCTCTAACGAGGGATGCAGTTGAGTCTTTCGTGAAAACCAAATTGATTTGCAAATTAGTGTATTTCTCGAAAACATTCCAATTTGGGTTCAAGTAGAACATAAGGTTGACGGAAATTCGGGGACTGCGTCTACCTGATGAGCCCCAAGAAGGGCGAAACCGGTCGTGGGCTGTCGAGGAATTTTCAGCAACCTTGTGAGTAGTTTCCTTAATGAAAATAGGGCTCTAGAGACTTTTACAAGAGAATATGATTACGATAGTTAGCTGTTTGGACACATGATCCCTGGTTCAGCTGGAGACGACATTGCAGTTTAAATACTTGGTCCGTAAGCAGGCAGATATATCAGCATTGATTGTCTGAGCCATTAATTTCTATTATTGATCAGTATTGTGTCCGGACTAACTGTGATAGATAGTTGTATCACTCCGATGATTAATGCGTGGCAACTTAACACTCCTAATTCGTAATGGCTTCGGTGTCCTCAGGTTCTTGCGGGTTCTGTCTGAATATCATCGCAGAACACTGTCAACAGCAGTGCAATTTAGTTTGCTAAACACACTGTGTACTGCTGTCTTGCGAAGCGTATTCATTGGTTTATTTTGCAAACTGGGTTTGCAGACTGAAAGCCGCGCTTAAAAGCCGCGCAAGTAGCACACAAAATGGGACATTTGCAAGACCATATTACGGTGATTCATACTTTTTATATTTTAGTTTGCTAAGCACATTGTGTCCTTCTGCTGCCCAGCGGAGCGTGTTCATTCGTTTATTTTTCTCGTTGGTTTCACGCTGAAAGCGGCGCATAAAATGAGGAGATCGCTACACAATATTTGGACCTTTGCAATGCCATATTACGGTGATTCTTACTTTTTATGTCTTACTTCATCTTATCAAGCTTTTCATTACCAATAAAGTACATTAGTCCCCGGTCTTTTTCCTTACATTCCTTCTGAAGAGCATCTTTAATGCCTAAATTCCTTTTTTGTGGAAACCGAGCAGCATGTTTCGGGCGATTTCAGGCACATCTTTCACTTCCTTCAATAACGCTGCTGAGACGTCTTTCTTAAAGGAGTTGCACAGTCATTCAGAAGGAAACCTCGCAATTAGATGCAGTTGAGATTACCGTATTATTGAAAAAACCTTGTTGGGTAAAATTTTTGAGTCTGCTTGATCTGTTCTTTTTTCGTAAAAAACGCTATTTCAAGCTATATCCATTTGATTCATGAGCGGCTGGCTGGCTGGCAATGGGTGGACCTATTCTTCCCAGTGCAGTTTCAGCTCCCAAATGAATAAATTCACATTTTTCGTACACTATCCTCCTCGAGAGCCAACAGATTAAAGCTATCTGATTTCATCCCAGTATCTTGACACAACTGATCGATTACGTGTACACCTTTGTTATCTTTCGAGCTATTTTGCCCGGTAAACTTAATACGTTTCCAATGACTAATGGGCTAAATGTACGACTTAGTAGAGGAACTTGCTCCAAAACGGTATCGAATTTTTATACCATCTGATAGGGTCATTTTGCTTTAGATTTTTTTAGACGCCACGAGTTTTCTGAAATGAATAGTTTGCGATCCAATTTCCGGTCCAGCAAAGTCGACTGGTTATGAATGAAATTCTTGTTACTTTTTACTTTTTGGAAGTGTTTGAGTTTGACAATGTTGCGTAAATATAATAAGAAAAACGGAATATTGCGACATGTTTGCCCACCACACGTAAACTTCTGCGACTTTGTTAGTTGTTCAAACCCAAGCCTAAGTCTTTGGAGAATCGGATTCCGTAAGCAGGTAAAGGGACTTGATAAAGTGATGGCAGTTGTTTATTCAGCAATTTCAGGGGGTCCCTGCTCAAAGATTCAAATTTCTTCAAACTCGTTTTTACTGGAAAAGCTAAAAGATTACTTATTGTTGATGATTGTCATAATTTTATTCTATATATTCCTGATTTGTTTTTTCTTTACGTTAGCGTAAGTGTATTGGCTTTCTACACTCAGCAAAAACGGATTAACTATTTAGTAGTGAGGAGCAACCCGGTTTGACTGAACTTTCCATCGTGAAATTAGAATATGCTAAGCCAGTCAAAACGATCAAAAGATTGAGGAGGGAAGTGACTGCGACTATGAACAGAGGTCCTGGTCTAAGAATGCCTCAATATAACAAAATATAGGCGGTGATCTTCGGAAAAACTTACTGTTGTTTGTAACGAATACACCAGTTTCCTGGATAGCCACAGTTTGGCTCCCACATCTTTGTGAGCTTGATATAAGGAGTTTTGTATTTCTGATGAACCGTTCTTGGTCGAGGATTGGAGTCACGGCAGACGTTGGGCCTGGTTGGAGGCGCATCGAGCAAAAGAAAACGGGAAACAATTAATAAAGGATTCAGAGTTTCTAAAAAACGCTAGTGTAAAGCTTGTCGACAGGAGTCTATTTATTGCGTAATAATAAGTTACCCCTACACATGAGCCTTCTTTAAAAGACCCGAGTATAGGTGAATTCGTCAGCGAAATTTTGTAAGGGCACTGAGTTGATAGAATAAACAAATATGAGAATATAAGGTCAATTTTTAAAGAATTTGTTTCGTGTTCCCTGATGGTTTTTAAAGTAGACATTTGTGAATTTTAAGCTGAGCAGACTGAAAAATTGGACACCGGTCATTTTTTCGTACCCAGTGAGCCACAAGACCAAAATTAACATTAAAGGCGGGAAAGTTTTGGAACGAAGACAATTACACTGAGCATTTATCCTCAATACTTGGTCAAATTGGGAGATTCCTTCAGACAGAGTGAACTGAACATTTCTTAATCAGGCTTACCACCCGGACCGTTTTATCTCGTCGATAGCTCTGAATAGCTGCAGGTGGCTGATGGATTTATAGAAGTGACACGGTCGCTTGGAGAGTCTCATAATGGTACGATTATTCTACTGAGTCCATATCAGCGACAGAAGGACTCACGTTTCGCCCTTAATGGAGTTTATCAGGAGTGAATGTCCTTGGATATAACGGGATCTGAGATCCGAACACCTAACAAGTGAGGACAGTTTGCTGTCGTTGCCATACCAGGGCACCTAAATCATCGCTTCTGAAGAGCATGTCACTTGATTTCATTTCAGTTAAATTGAACTCAGTTCTCTTCAGTGCAGCTTATCTAATTTCAGTTCAGTTTACTTCAGTCCAGTGCAATCCAATTCATTTTACTTTTTCAGCTCACAAACCGTACATCAAATTGCAGTGCTTCCATTTGCTTTGGTAACTGAGGATCAGAAGATAAAAGGAGTGAGACCTAGTGCTAGAAGCGATGGCCCACTTTCAGCTCACAAACCGTACATCAAATTGCAATGCTTCCATTTGCTTTGGTAACCGAGGATCAGCAGGTAGAGTGAGCGAGACCTACGTGTTAGAAGCGATGGCCCACCCAATTAATAGACGTTGAGTGGTTCCCTTTTTGCGGTATGGCAGACTGTGAGCAATGTTTTGAAGGCGATAGCTTTGATGAGGAGTGGTCATTGGCTGGGTGACAGCCATGTCTGTTAGGGTTAATGGCCATTGGCTTGTCTTGTCCTGCGGTCCTCATCCGGGAGTACGACATTTACGAACGCCTCTGAACAAAAGAATGGATTCACATTTGAGCGATGTGACTGGCTTGCCCGACGCCTCGAAAGAGGCTCAGTAAATTGGCTTGTCTTGTCCTGCGGTCCTCATCCGGGAGTACGACATTTACGAACGCCTCTGAACAAAAGAATGGATTCACATTTGAGCGATGTGACTGGCTTGCCCGACGCCTCGAAAGACGGCTCAGTAAATGTCCCGTTTGTTTCTGTCGACTGACCCACCAACCAGGATTTCCTCGTAAGTTGGCACCAATGAAGCTTGAAAGCCGCTTTACAGTTTCCGGATAGGTCAGGTGCGTCTCGCGTGGACTGACGGAGCAGTGGGAACATGCTCGCCCCGCGTGCATATCCTGACCCGACCAAGTACATATACTACTGATCAGCTCTATTAAGAACGTAACTCGAATGCAATGATTTCCCGCCTTGGTGTGGATATGCCAGAAAACTTACGCCAGTTTGAAAGATATGAATGTTAGTCCTAAGAACTGCAATCTCTCTCATTTGACCCTTGATGGAATTTGGTAATTTAGTCAACGCCATGGTTTTTGTGTTTTTTCTATTTCATCTATCCTCCTTTTCTTTTGCTGGCCAACATTATACATGAGAGGTTTCAGTTGAAATGTTTGACGATATCCAGCAAATGCTTCTGTTTTGGGGTCATTTTTACAACCCAGAACTTAATTTTTTCCGATTCCTTTCACGTATGAGCAAGCGTTTTGGGAAATGAGGAAGTCATCAAGACTTTAGCGCAGAAGCAATACATTCTTTGCCAACTTATCAATAAAATTACAAATGAGTTTTTTCTAAAAAAAACAACCGATGGAGTAGGCTTCAAAGTTTGGATATGCAATAGAACAATAATTTTAGACCTATAACTCACAAGAAGAAAGAATTTTGTCCCAACTCCAGCACTTCAGAGTCTCATCACGAGTTTGAATGTGATAATTTATGACAATCAACAGGTAGTAAGAGACAAGACTATGATGGTATTTGAACAGATGAAAGGAGGGCTGATGCTACTAAAACGTCGGTTGATGAAGTCTCGTTCAAATAAGGGTTACTGCCTTCACTGCGGCTTAGCAAGTAGACTCAAATTGGTCTGGTCGAGTACCCCTTGCCGATGAACTCTTCGTTCAAATAAGGGTTACTGCCTTCACTGAGGCCTGGTCTGGTTGAGTACCCTTTGCCGATGAAGTTCATACCCTCCCGTCGGCAATGCCAAACACTCTTGAAGCAAGCAAGGGCCATGACGGATAGTGGCGAGATTGCTAAACCTGGCCGAGGAATGTTTCCCCTGTGCCTTACTTTCTCAATTTCGACACCTTTTTGCACATTCTCGTCAGCTGTTACTGAAGATCGAATAAAGTTCAAGCAGACTGAATTAAGGAGTGTTCTCTGCTTTATCGGAAGCAGCCTAACACAGTTTGCAGGCTTCCGCCCATGGGAAACTAGCGACGTAGCGCAGTCAAACCTGTGAGTCCAACAGGAGTCCAAATGTCGCAGAAATAATTGGGAATATGTAACCAATGCATTAACGCGTATGCACGCAATACTAACGAAAATACGAAAGCTTTCTGATGGTACCCGAAATAGTGGACATTCATGGATTCAAGTACTGTCCAACATTATTTGTCTCTTCATTTGCGTGTACAATGATACCAAATTATTACACGGGGTGTTACCGATTCAAATTCTCTCGTTTTTGTTTTACCAGGAACACTACCTAAGCTTACCAGTTGGGCTGAAGAAACAGTTGAGTACATCAGGATAGATTCAAGTCTATGGAGAACTCAGTTTGCCAAGAACAGGCCTACTTGGGGAAGACTAGCCAACTCGTTATTCATTAGAATCAAATTATGGCTAGACCAAGTTACCATTGTATACGTTCTTGGTTCCCATCCCTAGTACGTAATGGCGTTGTGAGGCGGGCAAATAAGTATGCTGATTTGAAAAGAAACAACTTAGAGTTACGATTTTGGTTGCGGTTCGGTAGCCAGACAGAAATCAAATTCGATTAGGAAAAACGGACAGACTCACAAATTCTAAGCTAACGAGCACATAACCTACTTTGATGACACTAGATTGCTAGTGCAAAACTCGATAAAATTTCAAAAGAAACAGAAATATTTTGGAAACGAACGTTGAATTTTTCTTTATTCTTTCCTGAAATGCTACTCAAAAACGTTTCGTCAAAACCACTCTCCTTCAAGTAACCATCCTTGTGGCCTGTTTCATTCGGAGAGGGAAGGAACCTTACTCAATCATTTGTCTTAGTTGAGACAAACAGATTCAAGTGTGTGTGGTCGTACAGGACTTTGTTCTTTAGAAATCTGGAGACAGAAGCAAATGTGGTATTAGTTTTCCCACAACATAAGCTGGAGGCACCTGAAGTCCTATCCCGAGGTTGTCCAACGATTGCATTCGAAGGCATCGTCCATAAAATTTGGTGTGAACTCAAAAGAGCAGTTTCTCGTCAACAGGCAAATGCCAGCGAATTTTGTATACTGTTTTAGTAGGCACGACTGGGAGACAAGTATTTGATCTGCTTTGGCAGGCTTTGTTTCTCAATTCGGTTAGCCGTTTGGCGGCCGGGGAGGGAATTCCGTAAGTTCATCGGCAAAAACTTCCACCAGTGTACCAATGGATCTGGTTAATTTTCCCTTCTGAACCTCGATATCTGTGGTTTCTGTAATATTTTGTTTTTTGCGCAGGAGAGGCAAGCGCTAGAACCACAATCAGCAATTATATTGATTTGAACCGCCTCATACGGTTGAACAGGGACAGACCTGCCGAAAAGTCATAGAGCAAACTGTATTCTTCAGTTTTGCCGAGAGGATGCAAATGGACAGAGTGATCTAACCGGGGAAGTATTATTCCGCATTGTAACGAGATATCTGATTCCCGTTTTTCCATTCTAATTCACAGGTAGAACAATGATCATCAACTTGCGTAATTCTATCTGATCCTATAACCTAATCTAATATATATGACAAAAATCCTATCCCAATGGAACGGGAAAAGGTAAGTCGCATGTAGACAAATATGTGTAGTCAAACTGTCAAGTTGAGAAGTCATCGGGATTTCTCCAGGTTTTTGATCGGAAAGGTTTTTCTGTGGGACTATTGTCTTGGTGACGGGCTGTTTTCGTCTATGATGAGAATTCCAGAGAGTACACCATACATGATTCCCTCTCCACCACCGCTGCTTCACTTGTGAGTTCCACTTCACTGAGAACGGAACCATCAGATTCCTGGACAAAGTTGGGCACAGGTGAGTGAGCGAAAACCTTACCACACACACGCACTAACGCAGGTTGGCAGGAAAGTGAGGTATGCACTTCACTTGAGCTCTCGAATTGCGCTAAACTTCGAGTTGGCAACTGCGAATCTATTAGTTTTGCCAAGAAATTCACTGAATGTGTTGTGTTCCACTTTGCCGAACTTTTCTTTCAAGAAACAATCACGGTTGCACCTGTTATCTAAAGCTGTCAGATGCTTATCGGTCCTGTTTAAAAGCCTGTCAAACGGCCTTAAAAGGTGACGCATTTGGGACGGTGATGGGACACGGACGCCGGTAAATTACGAGGAAAGACAAAGTGACAGCGTCTAGCTTAGAGGTCGTCCAATTCACGATCATCCAGTACTGCCAAATTAGCAGAATTTGAATTCATGACTTAAAGGGCTGTCTAGCGAAACTAAACGTCATCTAACTGAAGCAG